TCGAATCGTAGAATCGTACGTTGAAATGGGGGGAAGGCTGTTGTAGGAGCTCCGTAAAAACGGGCGATTTTCGGCGAAAAAGAGAGAATAGAGTATTAAAGGGAATATAAAAAAAGAGGAGGAAGGGGGGAGAGAGAGGGAGAGAGAGGGAATAACGCGAAAGGAGAGAGAAAGAAAGTGAGAGGGTTAGTACCCCCCTTTTCGAACGCCGGCCAATTAGGCTTCCTGAGCAGGAGTGCATCGGGGCGCATTGCACGGCGATAGGATGATCGAGTGGTTCGATCGTATCGGTGCTCGCGTGCCAAGATCATGGTCAGGACACTCGATAGGCCGATAAGTAATGCACCCAGATAGGATGACAGAGGGTACACGTTGAAAAGGAGAGGGAGAACGACATTTGTGCAGAGAGAGAGAGAAAAAGAGAGAGAGAAAGAGAGAAAGGGGGAAGAGCAAAGAGACGGAAAAGGAGAGAACTCCCGTGGAAGCACGAACGATCTTATCGCGGTGAGGTACCTGGGTCGGCAATGAGCGTCTACTACCAAACGAATGGAACGTAGAGTCTGCGTCGGTTCTCGCGTGCACGAAGAGAAAAAAAAAAAAAAAAAAAAAAAAAAAAGAAAATCGGCCCGCGTACCAACACTTTTTCACGATATCATTTGCCCTCGAAATTCGTTCACCCGAAGAACCTCGTTCTCTCTCCGACAATTGAGCAACATTTCTCCGGATCGTCGAGAATTAATTCGAATCGATACCGCTTATATATATACTTGGGCTTGAGACGGAAAAATAACGCGAAAAAGAAGTCGGGTCGAGTACTACTGGAACTACTAAAACGGGGGGAGGGGGAGGGGGAGGAGAGAAAAGATAAAAGAATCGCCGACATCTCTCTTCCCCGTTCGATCGAGAAGCGACGCGGTTCCCATTTATCGCGAAAGAACGTGAATTCTAATTAGATAGAGGTAAACCCGCGGCATCGAGCATCGTCAAACGAGTTCCACGCGTTTCGATCCGCGTCTCTGGCGATCCTCGGGAGACCCCGACCGAGTGTATGCGCTTTGATTCAGGACGTCGTTTGATCTTGGACCACGTGGCGCGCGCGTTGGGGTAACTATATACCGGAGCAACGCGAACGGGGTCGTTGCGACTAATTGCCAGCTCACCGACCACGTCCATGAAATGTGCGCGGTCGGGTGACACGATCGAATCGAAGGAAGAGAACGTTAAAGGAAGAGGGACGAACAAATGGTCAAAGATGGGAGCGGATACGCGCGGATCGAAAGGGGAGTCGAGAGTTCCCTTATTTTACCCTTGTGATCGCGATACGGAGTCTCGGATCTTCTCGTTTGTCGACCGTTATATCGAAAGCTTTGCTAATTGGCTGCGGACGATTCGCTCGGAAGGAGAAAGGGAAGAAGCGGTACCCCGGCTGTCCGATCTCACCGTGCGTAACGTAGTTGGAATTTAGGACTCGATGCATCGTTAAATTTCGTTCGTATTCGAGCTGGATGTGAACGTGTTCACCGCCGCGAGAACATTTCTACTTCCGTCGAGGAAGTAACTAGAGACGAAGGAAGGAACGGCGCAACCCCTGCCCGGTCCAACGGAATTCTGCGCGCGTGTGCAGAATCGGAGACGAAAAAGAGAGAGAGAGAGAGAGAGAGAGAGAGAGAGAGAGAGAGAGAGAGACAGAGAGAGAGAAGAACGGGAGGGAAACGGTAGGGTTGAGTAGGCGGAAAGCAGAGTCGGGGAACGAGATAAACCTCAATTATACCGATTGAGCATCCTCCAAGGGATGTCAGGTAGGGGAAGTTCGCTCCTCCTACTTTTCCTGCCACGTGATCAAGGGCAACCTCCCTTTCTTCTTTCCTCACTTCCGTTCTTTCTTCCGCTCTTCTTCCTTCTTCTTCTTCTTCTCCTCCTCCTCCTTCTCCTTCTTCTTCTTCTTCTTCTTCTCCTTCTCCTTCTCCTTTTCCTTTTCCTTCTTCTTCTTCTTCGAGGAGGAAGCGAGGAGGAACGGGACGTACTACGTCATCGGTCGTTCGATCGAATGTTTGAAGATGAATCGTCGCGAACGAACACTCGTCGTGAGTCATCACGGTAAAGAAACGATTTTAACGACCGCGATCGATCCCTCGAACGAAAAAAAGAGAGGAAGTGGTAAAGTGCAACAAAACAATCGGATCGTCGACGCGAAATACCTGTTGGTCCACGAAGAGGCGTTTTCAGGCAATCGTTGGAGAAAGAGGGAGAGAAAGAGAGAGAGAGAGAGAGAGAGAGAGAGAGAGAGAGAGAGAGGATGGGGAGTGGGAGGAAGGGAAAGAGAAAGAGAGAATTGGTGGGAAAAAGATGGTCGGAAGTGGGAGGAAAGAGAGGGAGATGCAGAAGCTGGCTACGGGCTCTCTCTCTCTCTCCTCCGTTTGACCATCTCTCTCTCTCTCTCTCTCTCTCTGCCTCTCTCTATTTCTTTCTCGGTTTCTTCTCTCCGTCCATCTCTGGTTCACGCTCCACGCTCGATCTCGGTTCGTCTCTGTCGATCTCAGTCCCTCGGTCTCTCGCGTCTTTCCATCTCCGTTAGCGGTAGTTTCACTTGCAATCGTGCGTCCTCTTCTCTCGGTTTGAATCTCAGGGTGGTGGCCGACGGTAGTGGTGGTCGTGTCCAGATGGTGGTGGTTATGGTGGGGGGGTAGTTGGTTTCTTCGTGCCTACCCGCTCCCTATCTCTCCTTTCTCTCCCTATGGGAGGGCGAGGAGGGCCCCCGTAGCCGCGCACTGCGCACCGAGTTCATCATAGACAGACCGATCTCCCTGACAGCTCCTCGTCGGGCTTGAACGGAGGTGGAATCATCAGATTCTGTCCATCTCTTCTTCGGCTCGCAGTAGCGTGTCGGGATAACGAACATCGTAACGCAGGGACAACGGAAGTGCGTGGCCGCCCTGCGTGCCTCTCTTTCTCGCGAATCTTGTTCGGCCATCGCGCACTTTCGCCTTTTCGTCGGTCGGTCGGTCGGTCGGTCGGTCGGTCGGTCTCGGTTTATCACGGAGTAGCAACACCCATTCTCCTCCCTCTCTTCGATCTCTCCGATCTTTCACCCTTCGTTTCGCTCTTCTTTCCGGCGACGATCTCTCCTTCCCTTCTCTCGCTATCTCCTTCGCCGTCTTCGCGCGTTCTTCCTTCCCTTCGTCCACTTTTTTTCTCCTCTCTCTCTCTCTCTCTCTTTCTCTCCCTCTCTCCCTCCCTCCCTCTTTCTCCTTTTCATCGCGCATCGCGCCTTTCCACCCCTTCTCGCCTCTCTCTCTCTCTCTCTCTCTTCTCTCTTTCTCCTTCTCTCTTTCTCTCTCTCTCTCTTTTCTTCTCTCTGCTCTCTTCCCGCTATAATACTCTCTTTTTCGCGTTAGCTCTCTGGCCAGCTCCGACCCTTTTCGATTCGAAGGAGCGGCACCGTCATTCCTTCGGAAGGAACGTTGCTTCGACTCGGCACGACGCGACGGCGACGATCGTTTGGACGACACGCGCGCGGCGCACGGTATCATCGCGGTCGGTGTCGTCGGCGCGTAACGCGACCACGGGAAGTTTGCTATTCGACTGTTTGCACGGATGAAACGATAGCCTCGGTGGTACGCGTGCGAGAAAGAGAGAGACCGCAAGCCGGAGCAACGGTGGAAGAGGAACACGAGCCGAAGGAGGGGGATGTGTGCGTGGGAGGAGTAAGAGATCCCGGAGGGCGACTTTTCTTTTATTTGAGCTTGACACTTCGCCGTGAACGCGCACACACACCGGAAGTAACGAACCGTCGTCGGGGCCCCTCTTCTTTTTCTTCGACACGTTTAACGTGACTCTTTAACGTTCTCGAGACGACGCACGAGAACCGAGACATTCCAGCAGAATCTAGAGCGAAAACGCCGGAGACGTTAAAATCATCATCATCACCGACCTAGAAGGGTGGAGAGGAGCAGAAAATGCCACGATATCCGACAACGATCGCGGAGAGAAAGGGTGTCGCGACGCGGATTCTCGCGATCGGTCGTCGTGGATAAAGGATTCGACGTGTTCCTTGTCTCCGCTCATTCGGATCCGGAAGTGTGTCTCGTTTCGTGGAATGTCAAATATCCATCCGGCAAAGGGCAGATCGATCGCGGTAAAGGAAGTTGCAAAGCGAACATCTGTTCAATCTGAACGACTATGTAATGGTGCTACTACGCGACGATTCGCGACCACCGCAACGGCAGCAGTGTCAGTGTTAAATAAAATATAAATATTATAAATATTCGACGAGAGTATCGAACTCGCCAAAGTTGTGTCGATCGACACGTCGACAGTATTCTTACTCCAAAGACGAGAAGAAGCGAACCAAAGGTGTTGCCAACGCGAATCTCTCGGTGATTCGAAAGTAAACGATTGGCGACTTTTCGAGAACCGATCAGAAGAAGCTACTCCCGACAATATCTGGCAGATAGAATAGAAGAAATAATAAGAATAAGAAGAAAGGAGAGAAACATAGTAGGAAGAGGAAGAGGAAGAAAAGATTGGGAAAACGGGATCCGACTATCTACGGTGGTCGGTCGACGAACCGTTCGATCGTCATCGAGGATATTGTCCCGGGGTAGTTTTCGGAACGACCCCTTCGAAGCGGCGAAACTGGAAGCTCTCGAATCGTACGGAACGTCAAAGCAGAAGCGCCGGTGCCCGGGGCGAGGAGGAGTCCTCGACGCGTGCCAGGCTGCTGATCACAGGCACCGCGCCGGAGACGGGAGACGAAGAGAGTAGGAGAGAGGGATTGGGAAAAAACCGTACAGAAACGGAGAGAAAGAAAGGAGGAGAGACGGCATCGTCTCTCGAGCGAGGGGTCCTTCCGTTCGGGTGCTAGGGGTGTGCAGCCTTGGACGAGGGGTCGCACTCGACTCTCTTCTTTTTTTTTTNTTTTTTTTTTTTTTTTTTTTCTTTCTTTAAAGTGGGCAAACCGCGCAAAAGAATAAGAGACGCGTCCTCGGGGCGATGACAGGATGCCTCCTTCTCGATCAGGACGCGTCTACGAAGGACCACCGTCTAGGATCGCCGTTAGAATCGGACCCACCATCGCCCTGTTGCTGATTCTCTTCGAGAATCGTCGGTAAGTTAAACTGCGAGTAATCGGTACGGCCGAGTACGTACCGATCCCCCGTCCCCGAATCATCGCCGAATCATCACCGTCCCTCCTTTATCTTATCCCGCTCGATTTTTTATTACAGCAGCCGCATCGTGTTGTTCGACCCACGAATCGAATCGTTTACGTTCGATATCTCGTGTCGCGTCGTGTCTTGTTGAGTCTCGCTCTTCGATTCTGAATATTTATTTATTTTACAATAAGCTAGGGGACACTGTACACCGCTAAGACAAGATAAATTAAACTTTAAATATAGATACAAGCGTTTCGATCGGGTTCGAAGCGGCGGTGATCGTTCCCTTATGGTATATATACGTACGATCGAGTCGTCATCGTCGCAGAATTAAATTTACTCCGAAAGGAAAAGAGGGAAGAGGCGCGCGCGCGCGCGCGAACGGCGGAAAAATATAATATCGGTCGCAACGGACGAGGAAGGAAGGACGAAGAAAAGGAAACGAACGAAGGAGGAAAGGAGAAGAGAGGAAACGAGGGGAAGAATAAGAGGGCGAGTGGTAGTCGCTGGACGCGCGGGCAGTCGCGTATAATTTTTACTTTCCTCCGGGGGAGGAGGGGGGAAGAGGAGGAAGAAGAATTCACGAATTCGGTGGCAATGGGAATTTCTAATTCGCTAAACTCGTCCTCTCCTCGTTTCTCTTTTTCCACCTCTTAGGGAAAGAATCTGTGAATGGAGGAGAGAGAGAGAGAGAGAGAGAGAGACGGTTCGTCGAGACGCTGGTCGCATCGACGATTCCGAGCCGAGTACAATGACGGGAGTGCAAATAGGCCCCTTTCAACCGTGCTCCGTGCCACGAACAACGAACGATCCCGCTGCGATCTTCATTATACCTCTTCGATCTGGCTGGCACTCTGTGTCGAACGCCTTGCACGCTCTAATCGAATCTTTCTTCGGGCAAAGGGGCACTCGGGCCGGTGTCGGTCGGTTCGTTTCGCGTGAGCAACATTCTTTAACCGGGCAAGCGGAGGAAATCGGTCGTTTTCCGGAACGCAGAGTTAAACGCGGAGGATGGTTCCAGGAATCGCGATAAATTCCTTGGCCGGTTACTTCCAAGAATACGATTCGCGCGCTCGTCCTCGGTACACGAAACGACAAACATTCTCGACTATCTTGTGACAATGTTGTGTCTTTGAGATAGAAGTGTAGTCACAGGCGTAGTAAGTACATACGATGTGGCCCGACCAGAACGGAGCCGTCCGACGTACGCTTCTCCTTGATGCCCACGCGGCTCCTCGTAAATAATTACAAACAGCATCCGGGAACAAGGCCGTACGTGCACCGACACGCTGCTCGCATGCACGCGCGTAGATATAGGCACGCGTGAGCTTCACCGTATTTACGGAGCGGCATTGAATTACGGCATCGAATAATTCCCATGATGTAATGCTCGATAAACCAGTTTGCGGGACACGGCCGTTTACCACCCCCTGCCACCGTCGATCCTACTCCACGCGTATGTAGAATTCACGTTTCATCCTCCTCCTTCAACTCGTTTCCACCAACTTCCACGCCAATTTTTTTTCCTTTTCCATTAACTCCGAGACGAGAGTTTTCGACGATCGCCTATCTTCGGCGGTCGGCCTCGAAAATACCGACGAGACGAGACGACCGAGGGAGCAGAAGAGCGATCCCTTCGCTTCGTTTCGCGCGAAAATAAGAGAAGCAAAGCGATTTGATATCTACCGCAGGAATTCTCGCGAGTCACTCGTAACGAGTTCTCTCTCCGCGGGTATACCTCCATTAAACGCGAAATTCCGTTCCGTGCCCCTCTCGCTCTCTCCCTCTCTCTCCCTCTCATCTGTTTCCTTTGCGAAAAAGTTAAATAAAACACGTGCATCCCCGACGCCATCTTGGATTCTTCGGCGACCCCTTGGATCATTGCAAAAATGCAGCACGAGGACTTCCCGTCTTCGATTTGCTCGACGATTTCCTACGAGTTCGGAGAACACGATCCAAAGATATGAGCCGAGATCAACCTTTCTTTACCTTATTACGTATACGCGTATTTCCCCGATCCGGATACGTGTTGTGTCGGTTATATGGCGTGACGAGTGACGCGCCTCAACGGGTTGAAAGATAAGGCCAAAGTCTATTTGTTGTTCCCACGCGACAAAAGCGTGGAAGACAAAGAAGAGAAGGGTAAAAATGAGGTAAGAACGAAGGAAAGGTAATGGAGAGGAAAGGATGTAACGGAAGGAATCCCTGGACTCGGTCAGAACTCTCCGCCAAGCTCAGGTACGCGATGTCTTTGGTAATTTGTTTCGTCGAGTAAAGATCATTAATCTGCTTTCGGTAGATCATCAATAGCGCGAAAGATAAGAGCGATGCAACGGTGTATCGGTAATGGGAGCCCTCAATAACCTCTGCGACCCTAAAATCTCGCTCTTCCTCCACCTTTCCCACACTACCCAGAAAGAAGAGGCTTCGGGCAGAGGAGAGGACCTTCTTCTCGCAAACCGCCACCACCACCACCACCACCATCGCCATCCACCTTCCCCGGCCGGCATCCTCCGGATACGTTCCTCTTCTTTCTTTCTTTCTTTCTTTCTCTTTCTTTTTTCCTCTTTTGTCCTCGAGATACCTTTATACCCTCTCTTTTCTCTCGTTTCTCTCTTTTCCACGTTCACGCGGGTGCTATACACAGCTTTTACTTTAGGAGAAGCTCGTCGACTAATTTGTACCCGCAGATAACCACCGACCCACCGAGAATCTTGCACCCGCCCGTGACATCCTTACGGACTCGGAGAGACCCCGAGAACCCTTTGCAAAAAAAATTGACCGCTCGACTCGGTCGGTCGACGAGCAAATAAACCAGCTACGCGAACCAAACGCCGAACCCCCTCCCCCTCCTTCCGTTGTCGCGACGGAGGAGAGCATCGAGGGGATCGACATCCATATCGACGACAAACGATCGACGAAACGTCGCCTAAATTAATTAACACCGTGCATCGTGTGACGCATCGTAACACGGCTACTAATATTAAGTCTCGAGCCGTCTCTCGAGATAACGCTCTAAGAGCGTTTTCTCTTCCGAGATACGAAGTGGCGTTATCGCGACCACGCGAACGGAAAGGACGGAGGATGAAGAAAGGAAGGAAGGAAGGAAGGAAGGAAGGAAGGAAGGAAGGTTGGAAAGAGGATAGCGATCCTCGATAGCGAAGGTGGAACGCGAACGATGGAAAAGAACGAGAAGAAGATATTCTCTGGCTGGATTCTCTCGGAGAGTTATCGCATCTTTGACCCCCGCCTCGTAAAATTGTCTAAAGGAAAGCAGATGACGCGAGATGCAAGCGGCCGTATTGGCCCGTACAGGGTGCAGTGAACCGTTGGTTTGGAAATCGTTATCGGTCTATACTTAAACGGTTGTACAATAATTTTACGTTTGGCACTACTTTAAAGGGAGAGTTGGAGAGTTAATCAACGATGAATCCAAAAGCGGCCGCGTCCACGATCGAGAATTCGATAACGGAGGTGAACACGTGGTAGCAGTTGCTGCACACGGTGCGAAACGGGAGGGATCGAAAGGCGATTGCGGCGTGCCATAAGTACGAGGAATGTCCTCGGCTGAATTCCCTCGAAGCGGAATCACTCAAACCGATCGTGCGCGACCGCTTTCACGAAAAACCGACTCTCGATCTCCCTCGTGGACGGAGGGAAAGGAGTTTTAAGTTTAATTGGTAAATTTCCGTTTGATTTGCAGCGCGACCTGCTTAATGAGCAATTCCGTGGACGATTGGGTAAGCGGTAATGCCGTGGTCTGCAAAGGTATTCCAGGGATGACGAAGGAACAGCGCGAGCTATGCCACAGAAATCCGGACGTGACGGTGGCCGCGATCAAAGGTCTGCAAATGGCGATATCCGAGTGTCAGCATCAATTCATGTGGCACAGGTGGAATTGTTCATCCTTGACGCCTAGCAGCAGGACGCAGCAGAGCAGCGTCCTCCTTCAGAGAGGTAAGATAAGAGGTGGCAGGAGTATGGTGGGGAATAGAACGCGTGAATAGAACGAAATAGAAATAGAAGTTGTTGCGTTGAACGACCTGAAAAAAAAAAAAAGAAAAAGAAAAAAAAAGAAAAAAGAGAAAAGAGAAAAGAGAAAAGAAAAGAGAAAGAAAAGAGAGGAAAAAAAGAAAAAAAAAAAGAAGTTTAAACGACCGCGAACATAGGCGGCCTGTGTTTCGTACTCTCTTCGAAGCGGATCGGGGTAAGGAAACCGGGAGAAAAGGTGAAATCTTTTACGACGTCGTTGACGACGACGAACCGGGCGTAGGCGAGAGACGACGCGCTTCCTTAAATCAGAATACGGTGTATGCGTGCCTTTTAGCCGCGACCAGATCCGAGAACCTGTCCCAAATCCACGCATGCGGGAGCAGGAGAAGAAACCGGGCGAGACGAGAAGAAAAGAGATTGCCCCCTCGACTGTCCTATTCCAGTGTGACATATAAATTCGTCGTGGCGCGTACGTGCGTCGAAAGAGGAAACATATATCGTGTCGGACGAGTGCGCGAGAGCGCGACATCGAGCGCACCTGACCTGAAAGCTTAAGATCGTCGTCCGCAGCCACGATCTCGGTGCCCGCCACGTCTGTCTTCTTCGTTATCTGTCTCCGTGGATCGGTGGTACACCTTTTTTTTGCTCGCCAAGTGGCCAACCAAGAGGTGTCGATTCCACGACTTTTTCTCTCCTCCTCCCCCCCTCCCTCCATATAGTTATTCCAAACGTCGTACGTCGTGTGGAATTTGGGAAAAGGAGGTGGAGGGGGAAGGGGGGAGTGCAGGGAGGATGTAGCGCGTACTATTTATCTCATTGTCGGTCGGTCGGTCGGTCGGTCGGTCGGCCGACCGACAGATTGGTCGATTTTCGAGGAAAGAGCGATCCGGAGGAGGTCGATTCGCCGATTATCCGCTCGGAAGAATGGTCGATCGGGGGCGGGGGGAGGGATTCGAGTTCGACTTGGAAGTCAGAGGGCAGCAGCTTCCGAGAAACGGCCCGTACTTCACCATTACCAACGGTTCCAGCTTTTTAAGGACGACATCGGTGGCCAGGTGAGGGTCCCCGCGGTCGTTCGAGAAATCCACCGTGTCAAATTTGTGCTGGCTACGTATCTCGGAGAGAACGCGCGTCGTTAAATCTTTCGGACACGGTCCTCTCGTTGCTCCTTCTTCCATTCTCTTGGCTCCGGTTCGTCTCCACTTTATCGCCCTCTCGCTCTCACGCGCGCCCCGTCCTTCGCCACGTCTCACTTTTGCCACGTATTCGTTAAACCCCGGCAAAACGACTTAATGTATTATGAAATGTACACGAAACGGTCCTGTTCTTTCTCTTCTCTTCTCTTCTCTTCCCTTCCCTTCTTTTCTTCTTTTCCCTTCTCTTCTCTTCTCTTCTCTTCCCTTCTCTTCTCTTCTGGGGCCTGGCCCACACAAGGCGACCTACTATCAGTCCCTACGGTGTACTCGACGTTCGCTTTTGTATTCGTCGAAAACAATGAACGATTTTTCTTTTTTTGTTGAAACGATTTTTTGTCAAATCTGAGATATTCGAATCGAGATTAGAATATCGAATAAGTAAGTAAGATGATAGGTGGATAACAACGATACGATGTATAAATTTTCTCACGTCTGGGATGTTAATCGTTGCGAAGAAAGAGATAGATAGATAGAGAGAGAGAGAGAGACGATTATGAAAAATATAACGTCACAACAGTGGTTATGGAGTTATGGATAAAGTTGGTCACCGAAGGGTTAAGACAAGCGTTAAAGTAGCTCGGACTCGAGGTAAAAGAAGAAGGCGCACGCTCCCGAGTAAACATTACCGAGCGCGTATACCCGCTACGCTATCTATTGAGTTATCTAAACAGTGATTTGGGCTTGACATAGGGTAGCAGGGCAAGGCCTGCGCGCCATCCGTCACCGCGTCCCTGCGTCAAGAGCCGAAGAGTAAAGAGGCAGCGTTGGCCCTCCGTTGTGCACCTCAGCTTCGTTTCCTCTTCTTCCTTCCACCTCCTCTCCTCCCTTCTCTCCACTGTCCGACAGAAGAGACGTACAACTCCCCGTGGAGGATTTATTACGAGTCCCCTGTGCTCCTCTTACCACCGTGCACCAGAACCAGAAGCAACAGCAACGCCAGTTACAGTAGCTCCAGCCCTCCAACGGTTATCTGCATTATAAAACAGTTGCTGCCAATAGCCGTATAAAGCGCAAGCTTTCAACCCACCCCTCCCACCGTGATCCCATATAAAGAGCTGTTTTCGTTCTCTTTCGACTCGTGAGCCGGTCCTTGCCCGTTGGACGAAGGAGGTTATCATCCTTCGAAACAGCACGCGATATCCGCCGCCTCTTCCAAATAGAATTCGACGGGGGGGCCCCTCCTCTCTCTCTCTCTCTTCCCCTCTCCTTTTCTCGATCGTTCCTCGTTGTAGACGTTTCTATCGGAACGACGATCTCGGTAAAAAAAGAAAGAAAAGAAAAAAAAGAGAGAAAATCTGTCCTCGAGTACTTGGAGCCGAGTGTCGACCGTTTAACGTCGGCGTGGTTTCGGTACAGCCGACGAAAGGCGACGTAATCGAGCACCGGCTGTCCGATCTCGTTCACCGAAACGGATCCGTCCTGTCGGTCGATCGGTCCGTCTATCGTCCGTCCACCGTGGATCCACCGTGGATCGTCGCTCGAGGAACGATTTCTCGTCGGAACGTGGTAAAAGGAGACATTCGGAGAACCTCGAAACGAAATCGCGATGCGAGTTTCACGGACGTCGACTCGTCGTTTCCGAGGACCGATCGAACGATCGATCCACGATTCACGAGAAGAGCGGCGAAACGAGACGGGACGGGACGGTTTCGAGGCGAAATTAGAGAGAACGGTCGATAATGGCGCGGATAGACAAACGCAGTTTGTGCGTTGAGCCGGTCCTTGACGCGCGTCGCGTTCGGAACGTGGTCTCGAAACGGAAGGAACAAAAGAGCTGGTTGTCGAAGGGGGACGACGTAACGACAGGGCAGTGGCTCATCGGGTGTCGAGAACGAATACCACAAATCCTTTCGAATGTGCCTTTAGCGCGTCTCCCCGGTATCTCGCTCTCTCATGAATACTGCAAATACCGCCCGGTATTCGTGGATTGGAGTAGCTCTTTCTTGGCCCCGGTGGGAGGGGTAGAGTAATGTGTGGGCATTGTCGAACAGTGGAGAGGAGAAAGGGACAGTTTCGACCGCGTATTCCGATGCTCGCCGGCAGTCGTGTGTCGTATCGTTTGTAAGTTGACAGCCACCATTGCGGTTTGACGATCGACCATCCGTCAATCCGACTCCAGCGACGCTTCGAGGAGACGAGAGGCCTTGGAGGTAGAGAAGAAAAAGTACGTTTGACGTCGCATCACTTATCCAACTCGCTCCACCAACCCTTAAAACCCTTCTTTTGCTCGTCCACGCACGAATTTCCAAATTCTATCTCTGCGTGTATCCGGAGTACCAGACATGTGCCACGCGTTCGATATCCGCGTTTCCCCACCCCATTCGACCAGTTTAAATTCTTCGTTCGATCGATCCCCACGACGATAGCCACGTATACGCCAACGTGTACGCGAGATACAAACGAGGTGGCAAACGGGTGGAGGACGACGATTCGAGAGTCGTTTGACGTCGATCGCGAGAGAGAGAGAGAGAGAGAGAGGGAAAAGATGAGCGTAAAATTGGCGTAAAACGCGAGGATGGTGGTCAGAGTTTGGCATCGCGTCTTCGGGAACCCCAGCGTGAGATCGTTTATACATGCAGTCAATGAATGCCCGCCGGCCGCCGCTGCTGATGGCCACGCTTTGTTTTGACGGACGGCTGAATAATCTACCTCTGAACTTCGTCTGATGGCTGTCTGTCGACCGATCCGTCGTCCAACGATCCGTCCGACTCGCTACCGAAGCTTCCTTCTACGGAAGCTCGGCTCCGCGGTGTCCCGCTGTTTTCGCCTTCTCCTCGCTCGATCGCTGCTCGAAGCGACGAACCGCGATCAAACGCGCTGTCGCGTTCCGTTCATATTACCTCTCGTCGTCCGTGGGTCGTCTGCGTCACCAGGAACGAGCACCAATTTGCTAACCGATCGTGTACGATCTCGTGTACCATCCGTTCTACATATATATACGAAAAACTCGTGGATCGAAGAAAACGTACGAGAGATAATCAGGCGCCATCGAGCCAAGCGCCGCTGAACGAATTTCGAATTTTCTCTCGATCGCCTCGATTCGCCTTGGATTATTCGCGTGAGTTGTAAGTTGTAATTCTAAATTAGGGAAGGAGGGATGAAAGAGGTTGTAAAAAGAAAATTGTACGTTTGTTGCAGGCTACAGGGAGACTGCGTTCGCGTTCGCGATTTCCGCAGCCGGGGTGGCGCACAGCGTGGCCCGGGCGTGCAGCATGGGACGGTTGCTCTCCTGCGGATGCGACCCGTCGAGTTACAAGGGTAAGCCGCCTGCCAAGGCCAGGGGCACGCAATGGAAGTGGGGCGGGTGCTCGCACAATCTCGACTACGGCATGGAGTTCTCGAGACAGTTCCTAGATACGCGCGAGAGGGCCGGGGATATACAGTCGACGGTCAATCTTCACAACAATCAAGCTGGCCGCTTGGTAAGCCGTTTGATTAATCTTCCCTTTCATCCTCCCCCCTCCCTCCCTCTTCTCCACTCTCTCTGTCGCGCGCCATCCTCCCTTCCTCCCTCCTTGCACGAGTCTTGCGATAAATATTTCATTCCGTGACAATATACTTCTTCCCTCGGTATTTTTCTTCGTTCCATCGAGGTTCCGCTGATTCTCCGCGTTTTAACGGTGACTCTTGCTCGGCAACGCGTGCTAGAGCAACGCGAGAGAAGAAAGAAAAGCAAGCAAGGGAGCGAGAGAGCGGAGTAGAGAGAAAAGAGTGAATGAGAGACGGAAAAGAAAACGGTGAATAGGGGTAGAGAGGAGGAGTAAGAATACAACCGAGTCCTTTCCTCTCCACCATGCACCTCTCCACGCTCGGTCTCGCCTCGACGTTATTAAGACGAAGCCCGGGGCTGGACCACCCAGTCGTAGACTCATTAACTGTTTTGTACGCGACACCTCTTTGTTTAAAAGAAATTGCCCCCTTTTCTCTTCAGCCGCTGTTCATGCGACTCTCTTGACCACTCCGCGCACTCGCTGCACCGAAGACGGTCTTCGTAACCGTTCGTCGCATGTATACCTTCTTTTTTCTTCTCCTTTTCTTCTCCTTTCTCTCTCTCTCTCTCTCTCTCTTCTTTTTCCCATCGATTCAATTTCTCGTCGTAGTCATCCTCGTCGTCGTTTAATTCTTCACTTACTTACTTACTTATTTGGTTACTTATCTTATCCTCTCCTTGTTGTTCTCCGAATTATTCGATCGAGACAACGATTGGTGAAATTTTAGGCGGTGGCGAGCAATATGCAAGTGCGATGCAAGTGCCACGGTATGTCGGGTTCCTGCGAGCTCAAGACTTGCTGGAAAGTGGCGCCGGATTTCCGAATAGTCGGGAAAACGCTAAAGGATCGGTTTCGTAACGCTGTGCTGGTGGCGCAAAGCAATCTGGGCAGCGTGACCCCGTTGACCAGAGTGAGAGGATCTCGGAGGAGGAGGCCGGATCGGCAGAGGCAGAGGAAACATCGCGGTGGATCGGGCGGGAACGGGCGTAAGAGGAGGCCTCGGGATCTCGCCAAGCAACTATTCTATTACCAAAAATCGCCAAATTTTTGCGAGAGAGATCCGAGCGCGGACATCCCTGGAACGGCGGGGCGTAGATGCAACAAGACAAGCTCGGGTGGGGACGGGTGCGGCAACCTGTGTTGCGGAAGAGGTTACAACGTGGTGAGACAACGACGGGTCGAGAGGTGCAAATGCAAGTTTCATTGGTGTTGCATCGTGCAATGTCAGAACTGCACTGTGGAAGAGTGGATCACTGTTTGCAAGTGAAAGGGAATGCCGGAAGGATATTGGGGGAAGGGAAGGGAAGGATCTTTTATTTTCGCGTGTATCGATGAATCGAAACGATAAATGACGAATTGATCCCAGCGAACATGAGCAGAATCGCGTGTAAATAACAATTGATACACGGATTAAATCGGATCAAGGTACGAACGGTATTTCCGAGTTCAATCTGATTACCACTTCGAGTCGTCGTTATCGAAGTCTCATCGTCAAGAATCGTTACATTAGTAATCAATAGTAAAAGAATGGATGGTTGGATGGATGGATGGATGGATGGATGGATGGATGATTGGATGGATGGATGGATATAACGAGTATCGAAGGGAACGAATCGAAATCGAAACGGATTGACGCTTAACGCGAATGAGTCAGAGATCTGTTAAGACGGAAACGTAGCGAGTCGAACGTATTGGAAGCGTGAGTCAAACTCGCGAAAACGGCCTCGATACGAAGATTAGCCGTGAGAGATCGAGTCGACACCGATTCGGTCATCGTATTTCTATTCACGCTTAGCACGCATTATCGGGACACGTAACGCTCGTGTAACACTAGCGATCGCGCGCACGAGCACGTAACACGGCTGAGAAAGACAATGTAATTGTTCTTAAATCGCGCGACTAATTGTAACTAATTTAATTGGTAGATTAAGCGGGCCAATAATTTATTTATAACGTTGCCTCTATTTAATTAGTAGATATATAATTTGAATATTCACAGCAAGTGTAACACCTCCGTCACAGTATTATTAGAGGAAGCAATGTGCGTGTGTATAGAGATATTTCGGGATGGATGCGATTGTATATGCAATTTAATAATGCGCGTACAATAAAGAGTTCCTTTGATCGATAATCGCAAACCCATTTGTATGTCTGTGTTTCTCTCTTCTCTGCAGCTCGATCGCGCGAAGATCGCTCGAAATCCGTAACTCTTTCGGACTTTACGGATTCACGGATCGCCATTCCGAATATAATTTGTATTCTTTGTACTCGTGGATAGTTTGGTTCGGCCTTCTTTTTTCCATCGATCGAACGATAAATTGTCTCGCGTTAAAACCTTGGAAAAATCTGTGTCAATTCCACTTACATGCCACATACAAGCGAAAAAAAGAAAAAAAAGAAAGAAAAAAAAACACCATTTCAACGAAACATCAAAGAGTACGTTTTCGTAATACTATCTATCGTCTAAGCTCTTAACTTCTCTCGATTCTCGAGTGGTGGGGTAGTCGCTCCACATCTACGAATCACGAATCACGAAAAATTGGAAGGGATGGATAACAGGCGACAATTATCTTTCTCGATCATCAGGTATCGAGCATCGCGAGCATCGACTCGTTCGAATCAATTGATTCCAAACCCTTGGAATTCACCGATCGCAAATTAGGTTTTCGAGTCTGTACTAGGATTCCGATTAGATTAGCATCGAAATCGGACGAGGACTTTCGTAATCGTATTTTACATGGTTCGATGCAACGTCGATAGCCGATAATCCAAAGCGTCATCGTTACGATTATTTTAAACAATGATCCCTTGATCGATCGGTCGAGATCAATTCCACCGAGGGACGGTGATGGATACGATTCGGCTATCGTGGAAAGAAAGGAAAAAAAATCTCGTGTGCGATCGAGATTAACGTTCTCTCGCCATTGGCGAAACGATAAAGCACACTGGGCCCAACAAGAAGCCTGTCTTCGCGTCGTGTCGTATCGTGTCGTGTCGCGTCGCGTCGCGTCGCGTTGCGTCGCGTATTCGCATTAACGGCGGCTCTCTTTGACAACTGGAATCAGGACGACCCTGAAGAAGCCGCGATAAAGCGCATTAATTTATCGCGCGACCCTCGGGAGATCTTTTTCAAGGCGCATCGATCCAACCAACTAGATTAGAAACGGGAAAACGGCGCGTACGCTTTTTACCCCGTGGATACCTGTATCTCTCGACGACAATTATTCTCATGCGTCTGCCTCTTTCGTAATTCGCGACACGTTTAAGATCTAAGACCGGCCACGAGACAATTACGATTACGCGAATCGTAATGAACGTCGATCCTCGACCGATTCTTTTTTTTCTTCTTTCCCCCTCCCCCTTCTCTTTTTCACTCTCTCCCCTTCTTTGTACATGATCGAAACACGGACGAGAGAATGAACGATGCTCGCCGACACTCGCGAAATGGAGAACGAGATTTTCGAAGGTTCTCGTCGTCGACGCGCACGAACAACGAGATGAAAGTTAGTCGAAAAATTCTTACTCTTCTCGGGAAAGACAAGAGAGAAAAATTACAAATATTCGAAAGGAATGAGAGGCGGAAAGAGAGAGAGAGAGAGAGAGAGAGAGAGAGAGAGAGAGAGAGAGAGAGTCGAGATTGGACGACGATCTCGGGAACGAAATCAATGAGCTAACAGGCTTGCGAGTTAGCAGTTAGTTAATTAAGTCGGCGTTATTGGATCATGGAAGCCAAGCACCCCTCCCCAGCAATACCCCTTCGACGCAATCGTGACTGCCGCCCTGTACGAGCGTCGTAGAGCTCGGCTCTTACTCCGGCACACGAGCATTGCGAGGGTGGACGCCGCAGGGCCTGCACAACCTGCCAGACGTTTTAATTAGAGGTGAGTTTTCATCGCGAGCCACGATAAGAGCACCCCTCTGTTACTTGTCCCTTACGAGTAAGTGTTTTGCACCTTGCGTGAAAACCCTTCGTTTCGTCCGCCGCTAGACCATATACAGGCTAAGTCCCTCTCTAGCCCGTCGTCGACTCTTGGAAAACCAATGACGGAAGAATCACCGACGAGTCGTCGCGAGAGGATCATTCGCGCGTATAACTTGTGAACAGGATGGACACGATGGATCGATTACTAGTCGTTCGACGATATAACACGATTTTCGACCGGTTCGAATAATCAATCGTCGAGATATATAATTGTTTTTAATCGCGTCTCGCGTCTCTTTCGTATACGATTTTTCTTCTTTCCTTTTTTTCCAAAGATTCCGCGTGTAAGGGATAGTTCTTGTCACCTCCTGAAAGTGATCAACTTCTCCTTAATTCTTGGGAGCTTGGAAAATTCTTCGAGAATATTCGATGGAATGATTTTAATCGGCCTATGATTCTTTTTTTTTTTCTTTTCTTTTTCTTTCTTTCTTTTTTTTCCAATCGAGGAGTCGACTTAATCCCAATTTGGAAAACGATCGACGAACGAACAAGTGAGATTCCACGATATTTATCCCGAGAGGAGGCGCATTAGCGCGAACGATCCCCCCGGGATGCCACAAGATCGCGAGGCTCGCTCCCGAGACACCATTATCGTTTTCGGATCGCGAATAATGCCGCAATTAACAAGTTTCGCTCGACGCTCGGAATAAAGAGGGAGACAACGAGGAGTCGGACAACGAAAGATGAGAAGAATCGAAGAAGGAGGAAAGAATCGAAGGTGTGCGAGATGCAAGAGGAGGAGGAGGAAAAGAGAAACAGAGAGAAAGAGAGAAAAAAGAGGTGGAAAAAGGGTAGAGGCGTATACTGCGAGGCGCTTTACGTTCCATGGTGCGTCTCTCAAGGTGGCGGAACATGTGTTTCTGAATGTTTTGCCAGGGAAAAAGAGAGAAATCCGTAAGAAATGCAGAGGGAACGGAGAGTCGGAGGACAGAAGGAGGAAGCGCGCGCAATCGTGAACTCTCGGAGAAGAGCGTTTCTCGTCTCGCAGCGGTGCGACGACACTTGCCGCGAAGGTAAATCCAGCCAGGTGTCGTCTCGGACCAACTTGTTGGGTCGAGCAAGAATGACAAAGACGGACACGCGATAGTTGAACACCGGTGTATCGGTAATTCCAACGAGGAAGAGGAGATGAGAAGTAGATGAGAGGGGGAGAGACAAGAGATACACGGTGGTAAGACAAGACGGAGAGGAGGAAAGAGAGGAGGCGCGATCGCAAGAGCCGCGAGAGAGGAATATGTTGCGGAAAGTTAAATGTTGCATGAGGTTCGAGGAAGAAGAACGGAGACGAGATTCCCGGTATCGATTAACCCCCTGACGGAAATAACGATCTTTGGAGGATCGGTCGATCGCGAGAACAGCGACACCTCCGCCTCGGAATCTCAAAGAGGCAGACGCGTTATCTGCCGAAAGGATCGATCTTGGAGAGTGTCTGTAAAAGGTAGAGCGGAAGGAGAGAAAGAGACGTGGAGGGCAAGAACGGGGGCCTCGTGCCCGTCGAGGAAAACACGGCGCGTCTCGTCCGCCACCGAGACGAGATCCGTCTACTCTGAACGATCGATCGATCCCTCTCTCGATATCGCGACGCGGACCGATACACCAGTTTTTCCACGAGGAACGAGGCGGCGTGAGACGGCGAACGATAGCGAGGATCGATCGCCGAATCGAGAAGGATTGACGATTTGACTAGTTTTTCCAAGATTAGGAAAAGGCGGGGACGCGTCGCGTTTAAAGGTATCGAGAGTGCGGAGATGGGCCGGAGGAACAGAAAAGCGAGAGAACGAGCCACTTGTCACCGGTTTACCGTACTTTCCGGCGAAAGGAGTGTCGAACCCTTTTCAACCGGTCCGAACCGGTCGGCTGCCGATCGTTTTCGGCTTCTGCGCGTTCTCTTTTTCTTCCTCCTCCTCCTCCTCCTCCTCTTCTTCGTCCACTACCGGCGTTGCTCCCTTCTTCCCAGGGATTCGCGGTGCTAACATTCCGCCGCTATAGCAGGGGACCTTCCTCCAAACGACCGAACGAATATCAACTTTCCCACACAGGAGAACTCTGTTTTCGTGGGGGAGTAACGGGGGAAAGCTCGAACCGAACGTTTCTTCTTCGTTTTCGTTTCATCGCTACTCTTATCACTCCGGTCCGGGATCGAAGGGGTATGGACGTGGACGCGCGCGCGCGCGCGACTCGACGACGAAAATACGTGGAGAAGCGGAGGGCGAGGCGGAGAGGGGTTGGGCGATGATCGAAAAAGGCCGATTTTCGATTTGACCGAACGGTCACGTCCGTGGTTGAAACTTTCCCACAACGAGCGTTTCGTCGTCCCCACCCTCGTTCCCTTTTAAAGAGCTCGGGAGGCCTGCACAGGTTCGCGATCGGCCACGGCCTCGGTCGAAGAAAGGAGAGAGGACGTGAGCCGCGCGTATCGCGGGGACGAGGATGGAGATATACGAAGAAACGATGGGCCGAGTGGCACGGAAAGCTTTTTCTGAAATCACGGGACCCGTCCTTACCTCGCCACCTTTCTTCTCGTTCGTCTTCTCGCGACGCGCAGTCGGGCATCAATAATTTAACGCCCTGTCGTACCGATAAACCTGCACCGCTGCTCGCCGTCCAGCAACGGGGAAAAGGAACGAGCACGAGGGGAGAAGGAGAGGGAGAAAGAGAGAGAGAGATAGAGAGAACGAGGTTGAGAAAACTGGCGAGGAAGCCGAGGAATAGCGTACGTATCGTATCGCGTACGAGGAGAAGGATCGGAACGATCTCGTGTGGACATCGTGGATCAACCCGAGTTTCTTACGTCTGTTCGTTCACATATAGTCAGTGACGCGTCGTCTTCTCGCTCCACTCTCGCCTCCTCCTCCTCCTCCTCCTCCCTCTCCTCCCTTTTTCTCTTCCTCTTTCTCTTCTCCCTTGCCCTTTCCCTTTCCCTCTTCCTCTTCGATTACAAGCGGCAAGAAGCGGCAAGAAGCAGCATTACACGAGACACGCCGCGCCGACAAATCGACGGATTATGCCGGACGAGCGCCGACCCACCGGGAATAAATGAATTGGTTAACGACGCGAATCCTCTCGTTACTCGCCCTCCCGTCCCACACCTCTCTCTCTCTCTCTCTCTGTTTCCTCTCCTATCCAATCCCCATCACCCTCCTCTTTTCCTTTTTTTCCCTCCGTCTTTCCATTTCCATCAAGCACGGGAACAACGCGGGAGATTTTTACCGGTTCGCGATGGATGGATCCTCCGCCGAATCTCTCTTGCGCCTCTCTTTGGCAAAGAGAAAGCTCTACCGGTGTTCGCCTCGAATCGCGAACGAGATGCTCGAGTTGAACTCGTTCACCGTTTCGAGAGGCAAAATGTCGCTAAACGGCGACTTATTTACCTTGGCAACACCGCTAATGATTTCGACGAGGGGATTACGATTAATGATCCAATAACGTAGATACTCCCGACGGCAGTATTTCGTGTCAACGAAGCTTATCAACTGTCCCGCAAGATAATGGGCGCACGGAGGTAAAGAGAAAATAGAGGAATGGAGTAAAAAGGAAAAAGAAGAAAAGAGGAAAAGAAAAAAAAAAAAAGTGAAACCGCATCGATCGATCGAGTCTTTGGCAAAGCAACTAAGCGAGCCAACCACGGACTCGCGTAGCCCATTAAATACTCTTACGCAATCCGTAAAATCCGATAAATGGGATGTGTATTATCCATTGCCGTTCCCGCAGCCCTACAAGTACCGGACAAGGATGCGAATGGTGAAACAGTTAGACCGTTCGCGTTTCCACGAATTAATTCACGTCGTTTCTCAACCGTCTTTTTGGATCTTTGTCCAAGATTTTTCCACCTCGTCGCTCTCATCGTCGTGGCTCGCAATCGTGTAACGAAGAAAATTCATTTTTCCTACGGACGACGAACGAAAATCACGGAAAACCCGCAAGTTCTACCAACCTACACACATCTGCTTACGTTGTACGTTGTTGTGTAGTATCGCGATTAACGAATCGGTACAACTGTAGCGACAACTGTTGTACTCGTGTCGTATTCGTGTCGTATTCGTGTTGTAAGATATTCCGAGCTCGAGAGAGAGAGAGAAAGAAAGAAAGAAAGAAAAAAGAAGAAGAAAAGTTACGCGAGATAATTTCCGACTCCGAATCGAACCGAATGATATGTTTTCGAATTCCTGACGCAACTTTAGTTTTTCCTCCCTTTAGTGGAACGTTTCAGGAAGCGAGCTACTAATTAGCGATTACCACTCGTTCACGCGGCACTCGAGAAAGAATATAATTAGCACTCACCTTTGTGCCGATGCGCCGTGAAACCCTCGACCGGCCGAACCTGGCCTCTCGTAAAAAATCTGTAGAGCGTTCTCTTCGAAGAGTCATTCTCTCGTCGTTCGAACAGATGGAAAGGGGCACCACCAACGGGTCCCGCTTTCCCGTGAGTGTGAAGAGGTACGCGACGACGAACCACTTCCTCCACCGCTGCATCGACGAGCACTCCCCAACTACTGAAAACGAGAACAAAATTAATGAACTTTTTGTCGTGCATGTTTCCATGCATCGGGGAATGCATCGGGGGCAGAGGTTTTCGCTTCGCGCGAATCTCGATCGGGAATCGTTTAAATTTTATTTTTTTNAAATTTTTTTTTTTTTCTCTCTCCCCCCTTTCTTTTCTCTCTTTTCTCTTCTTTCCTTGCTTTCTTCCTTTTTTTTCGTTTCTTTTTTTTTTTCAACTCTCTGCAATAAAAAACCTTTCCATTCTTCTCGATACGTTTCGATCGCGCAATCGTTCGTTCCGCTGTTGCTGCTGCTACTGCAAAAAAAAAAAAAAAAAAAAAAAAGAAAGAGAGAAAAAAAAGACAGAACTCTTTTTTCCCCCTCCCCCCTCTCTCGTTTTCATCTTGTTTAATCGAGTATTTGGAGAACGAGCGATTCTCTTTTTCGCCCGATGTTTCAGTTGTAGTGGAGAAACGAGGCGAAAATGAGCGATTACGGATACACCGATTACGGCAACAGGGGTATGAGAGAACAACGGAGACGAAGGGAGAACTGGGAAGAGGATTTTAACGATGGAGGAAGATCCGCCGTGCAACGATTGGACAGCATACAGGATCCTGGAAAACGTTACCTTCTCAGAGATTGCATAGGATCCGGTGTATGCGGCGACGTTTACGAGGCGATCGATCGACAAGCCGGTAGTATAGTTGTTGCAATCTGTTCCATCTATTTTCTCTTCTAAATTTGTAATTTGTGTCTAAGAAGGAGACGTATCTTTTTTTTTTTTATTTCTTCTTCCTTTCGTGCATCCGTCGTCGTTCACGCCGTGCCTCGTTTTCTTACAGAAAACAAAAGAGTGGCGGTGAAGGTGCAAAAGCTCACTCCCGAATCGGAATCCATGATCCTCGAGGAGTACAGAATTCTTCGAGATTACACGTCTCATCCGAATCTGCCGGATTTCTATGGTATATATCGCAGAAGATCCGGAAAGAAGACCGAATACGATCAAATATGGTTCGTGATGGAGGTAAGAAACGAGAAATCGAACGAACTTATCTTAACCCGAACCCGTATCTCTCCGTTATCGCGTTCGACGTAGACGTTATTCGGCTCTAAACCGTTTTATATCGCGTTCGAGCATCGATCTCGAGATACCATTATACCTGTAAAGCGCCACTCCTTTAACATCGTAATTCTTCGGAGAAAAAGAAAGAGAGGGGAGGGGTGGGAGGGGAAAGAAGGAAAAAAGAAAAGAAAAGAAAGAGAGAATAGAGCGGAGACCGCGAACAGACACGGCACGAGGGTGGGTGTGGGGAGATGGAGGGGAATAAAAAGAGAAAAAAACGGAAGACAACGGCGATGGAAGAGTTGGTGTACGTACTACCCATGCCAGGACCCGGAGGCAATTTCAAGCATTTGAGACGGTCGAATACACGGATAATTTACGACACGCGCGGCCATTAAACAATCATTAAACTCGTTCGTGTACGCAGGTGAGCCCTGGCACGTCGCGGCCCTAATTTACGGGTGGACCTCCTCGGTGCGCCCGAAATATTATTACTTATCTCGAGCAAACCGTCGATATTCGATTTAACGCATACTACGCGCGTTCACGTACGATCTTTCATGCCCCCTAAATACCAACCGCGACGTCCCATTTCTTTTCTTTTTCGTTCGAACCGTGATGCCGAATATCCGATTATTGTTAACCGTTATATTTATACCGAATATTTCTCGAGACGAAATTCGACGATAGAATAGAATACAGTGTACGCTCGATAGTCTCGAGGAAATAAACGGAAACGTGCGTGTACGATGAGTAATTGTAGGAGAGATACGAGACAACGAGAGAGAAAATAACGACGAACGAATTTGCGAGTCGATCTCTCTATTCCGGTGAAATGCTTCCGGAAAAAGGTAAATTCGACAGGGCGAGTTCAGAATTGATAGAAGACGACGAGGCGAGGAACTCTTTTTTGGAAAAGAGAAACGACGATGTAGTTAAGATTTATCATCGAGCACAGTTTTACAATTATACATATATATATATATACATTAATCGTCTTATACGCAGACGAAATTTTCGTTACGAGGTTTCGATGCTTTCAATCGAAAGAACGGCATCGCGTGTTTGCCTCGCTTCGTTTGAAGCTCGTATCGTATTACGACTAAATACTCATCTCCATCTGGATTCGTCGAGAGCACGAAACCGCAGGCGAATATACCGAAATAAAATTTATTATTAGATTAAGATGTAAACGCGTGTTTAGAAGCGTTTATAAGCATTTTCTGCTTCGATCCGCGCCAGGGTTGCATTAGAGGTAGAGAGAAGTTGAAACCGTTAATATCGAGTATCGAGATCGCGAGCAATTACGTAAAATCGCTCGGAAAATTAAACTTCTCGTCTCGAATAGTCGATTTAAATTGCTTCCGCAATTTCGCGGGTGAAGTAAGCTATCAACGCGAAAGCGACGCAAGTACGATGCGGCGACGCAAATCGAAGATTGCTTTCTTAAACCGCGATTACGAGATATATTTATAAGAGTAAACACAATATAAAATGATTTTGCTATATCACGTTTCGACTTTTACAATACGTGCTTGTACAATATACGTCGAACCGTGTGTTCGAATAGTTTCGATTAAATTGATTTCATGTATTTGTTTCTTTATTATCTTGCAATGTTCGTTTTCTAAAATTTTATCTATAATAATACGTCTTCGTTTTATTTACAATTGGTAGCTTTGCGACGGTGGAACCGTGATGGATCTCGTGCAAGGCCTTCTAACCATGAACAAGAAAATGCGCGAAGAACACATAAGCTTCATCCTCAAAGAAGTGATACAGGTAAATAAAGCTAATTGAGCGCATTTAAAATGGAGCTCTAAAAAAGGTTCGTAATGATGCAATTTCTTGATATTATAACCCCGATTTCGCCGTATTTCCTAAACGGCCGTTGCCGTTCATCGTTTAAGTTTGCAATAAACGTTATTTATGCGTGGCTATAAAAGCGATGACATTAGGTAGCTGATAATGGTCGAAGACAATTACAAATCAAATTATATCCAATCCTATCGTTACACATACGAGGCATAAGCGTCGCAAACGAACGAAATATCAAGTTCTTCCAAAAATTCCTTCCGCTCTTCTTACTTACTATAAACTTTCGATCAAAAAATCGTTATTCCATTATTCGATGATTTTATGATGATTCGATTTATAATCGTGAAAAATTAATCCAATCAACTTGTATATATAATTTTTTTCTAAACATCATACTAACGATAATAATAAATTCTGTCTAAAAAAGAATCTAGAAAGAAACTTAGCTTAACTCTTACTTTTCTTAAAAAGAAAAAAAAAAAAAAAACACACGTGTTACATGAAAGAGCAGCGGAGAAGAGTTGACGTAGCAAATAAGAGAGAAGAATTATTGAAACGACCTAGTATTCGTTAAAATCGTCGTGACCCGTGTGTAAGAAAAATGAAAGTGGAAGAAAGAGAAGGTAGGAGTAAAAACGACGTCGGGAGGCGGACAAAGGGAAACGAGCTGGTTCGTTTCATGACACGATTCGAACGTGGCGTCGACGAAAGGAGCTGGTCTCGCGCGACGGGGTAACTCCGCGGTTCACCGGCGTTCACCGAGTATTCGCGTTTACGTGCGAGCAACGAAATCCAGAGAAGAGAGAGAGAGAGAGATAGAGAGAGAGAGAGAGCAGGACGACGCAAAGGATCGCGAAAGACGCGCGTCAATGGGCCGCATTCTACGGCGTATAAATTACAAATAAGACAGGCGAGATAGCTCGCTAATTAACCTGCTCGCAAATGAAAGGCTGTGCCCGCTCTTTCTCTCCCTCTCTCCCCCCTCTCTCTCTCTTTCTCTCTCCCTTCCACGATGCATCCAGCGGAGATCAAGAGCGCCAAGACTTCCGTCCCATTCTTCTCCTCTCGGCCCGTGTGCACTAGCTATTCGCGTTTCTCCGTGTTCCTCGCGTTACAGTCAAGGACAGATCTCCGCTGGTATGTAGAAAAACGTATTATATGGGACTGTTGGCGTGCGCTCGCGGCCAGTGGATGTAAAGAACGAGAGGAATAATCGCGAGAGTCGCGACACACGGGCGAGTTGCGAACCGAGTTTCCCGGCTGGAGGAGGTCTGTAATTTTAGCGGGGAAAAGGGATTCGCTCGGTCACAATGGGATAATGTTCCCCGCAATTCCGCCCCCCTCCGGAATATAATTTAGCTTAATATCGTAGGAGACGTGGTTTCGTAGCGGCTACCATTCGTACTCGTGTCCTTTTGCTAGCGTGGCGGCCGGGTCCGCGGAACGAGCGCGGAAACGAAATAAACGCGAGGAAACGATTAGAAAAAAATACTGGACACCGGAGAGCGAACGGGTGTCATTTACGCGTCAAACGCTGCAACCTGATCGGCGCCGAGGGTAAAACGCGCGTTTCCGTTTCGAATCGGCGCGCCGTGCGCTCGTTTCCTCTCCGCTCGGTTATACCCGATACGCGGTCGCGGTTCGCGGCTCGGTTTCTCTGCAAAAACATCGGGACCGCGTAAAATCGATGGGTTCTGCCAATTATCTCCGCCGTGAGAACTTCGTGAACCTGATACCTCGAACCTCGACGAATTCACTTCGCTGGATAACCACTTCCTATCTTGGATCAATATCATTTTCCGTGCCAACGTTCAACCTATCCATCGTGTCCGAAACGAACTCGTATTCTTACATTCTCAATCGAAAGGAACAAATAGATAGATAGACATCGTCCATCGAAACCGTCCGGTGTAAATAAAACTATACGGATTACAACGATATCAGGCGCGTAATCCTAGCTCGTTTTCATCTTGTCACGAGAGAGAAAGAGAGAAAGAGAGAGAAATCGTTTTATTTATCCACACTTTTGCATTATTTCGATTTCCGATTTCGAACGATTCGATCTAATTGTAGCGGACTAGTTGTAGTCGCATTTTCATGTGGTACAACAACGATGCTTGGAGAATAATTTTTTTCTTGTATGCCATCCACACACGCGAGATTTCCTGCGTTCCTCGTTCTTCTCCTCCTTTCTTTGTCTCTCTTTGCTCGTCTTACCATCCTTTCTCGTAAAGTGCACGCAACCCCCTTCTTCTTCTCCTCGGACGTCGCCTTCTTGTTCGCGTTGGTACGTGTTCCATGGACCCAGTAGCGATTCGTCCACGGTCGCTCGTGCGGTAAATCAGGCCACGTTGACGTTTAATGCCGGCAAATTACACGCGAAATAAATGCTCGCGAAGAACGAGGTACCGGTGTCTACCCTCTCGACGAAATCGCGTTTCACAAGAACGAAAGGAGAAATCGAACGAAAAGATATTCGATCGAGAGGCGAGGATTCGATCTTTTTCGTCTAATCTTTTGCGTTCTTACGATTGGGTTCCCTTCCCGACCCGTCTCACAGAATTTTATTATCCTTCTCAGGCGATGATTTATCTGAACGAGAACAACGTGATGCACCGTGACATACGTGGCAGTAATATATTACTGACCAAAGAGGGAGAGATAAAGTTGGTCGATTTTGGCCTGTCGAGAACGTGCCAATCTGAAATAGGAAAGAGATACACTTGCGTAGGATCGCCGAGTTGGATGGCGCCGGAAGTCGCCATGAGTAAAGGGAATAACACCGAGGGATATGGAAACAGGGCCGATGTCTGGGCAATAGGAATCACGGCGATCGAGTTGGCCGATGGAAAACCACCGTTTCAAGATATGCATCCTACCAGAGCGCTCTTCCAAATAATACGAAATCCTCCTCCGACTTTGAACAGACCGTCCAATTGGTCCCAAAATTTCAACGATTTCATTGCCGAGTACGTTTCTCGATACAATTTTCGTTATACGAGTGAATTCGATCGAATTTATATTTCACGCGAATATACATATATTCCATACGTATTATCGATCTTGTCTTTCAGATGTCTCGAGAAGAATCCTGAAAATAGACCGTTCATGGGGGAAATAATCGAACATCCTTTCTTAACAGATTTATCCGATAACGATTTTCTGGTAATTTAAGTAAAAAAAAGATTTTTACGACGATTAAACGGAGAAAAAGAGTGAGATAAAAATAACTGTAATAACAATAATATTTCCAGTTAACGAAAGAGATCAAGATATTAATGATGGACGCGTGTGAGAAAGGTAAACAGGAAAGAAAATTGGAAATATTAGTTCGAAAGGGTTTCCTGAAGGTAAAACGTGTTTTAAGTAAACGTAATAACGTTGTTCTTGCTTTCACCTTATCTTTATTTTCTCTCGCCGATTCAGACTCATCAAACCGATCCTTTGGAGCCTATGTTCATGGAAGATCTGGCCGCGCTCGAAACTCTCACGGAAGACGCGATCCTGGACGAATTGCACGAAAGATTGCGGCAAGGCTATTACCACAGTTTCATTGGAGATATACTTTTAATTTTAAATCCGAACGAGCAACAAGACATTTATGGATCCGATGTAAAAATTATTTATCGAATAAATCTTTATTAATCATCAGGGTTAAATGGACCATACTAACTAATACTAATATAACTAATAACTAATACGATTAATATTAATGACGAATAACTTTGAATATCTTTGATCCCGTTTATTTTGCATGAAATTAATATTAAATTCAATTCTCTTTCGTGATTGATTGCAGTTTCACACAAAATATCAATTCAAATCGCGGTCGGATAACGCGCCTCATATATATTCCGTGGCAGATAGCGCTTATCAAGACGTGATGCACAACAATGAGGCTCAACACATTCTATTCGCAGGCGAGAGTAATTCGGGAAAGACGACTAATATGATGCATCTGATTCAACATCTGATGTATTTAGGGAAAGTAAGTTGATCGATCGTCGATCGATTCGCATTCTTAAAGGAATATTAATATTAACGAGTATTATTCTAAAAGTTTTCGTTATTTTCAAGCAATTCGGTTTTTTAATTTAAGGGAGAAAAAATCGATTTTTTTAAATCATTATCTTAGAAATCATTTCGAATATTTTGCAAATAAAAAAAAATCGCATCGAAAAGAAAAAAGATAGAATAACGATAGAATTTTGATATTAGAACGTTATGGGCATAAAATTTGATCAGTGATAAAATATATCATCGAAACACGATCGCTATTTTGAAAAAAATAATCATCAGTATCAATTTTTGCTCGTTTGATTTCAGAGTTTGCAAGATATTGGAGGGAGATTTATACGTGCGATTAAAATAATTCAAGCTTTCAGCAATGCCGCCACACCTTTAAATCCTAATTCGACCAGATGCGTGCTTCAAGTGCAAACCACGTACGGATCGTCCGGGAAAGCCTCGGGCGGCATATTTTGGTTGTATCAGTTGGAAAAATGGCGCATTTCTATACGCGACAGGTTAAGATCGGCCTCTGTTATTTGACCAGAACTAATAATTTACTCGTATATCAGATTTCGAGATTGCGTTCCGACCTTAACGATAGATCTAATCGTACGATTTATCGATTGGACACGCGGTGATCATGATCGTATATCTTCTCGGCAGGAATCAATCGAATTTTCACGTGTTGTATTACTTTTACGACGGTATGGACGCCATAAATAAGTTGAAACAATATCATCTACCGCCGGGAAGAAGGATGAGATATCTGAGAATAAGCGAGAAGGGGACTGAAAGAAAGCGATCGTTCAAAGTTCGAAATGATCCGCGAGGAAATGTGGTCAAGTTCGAGGAGTTTAAAGAGAGTTTAAAGATCTTGGAGATGGAGGAGCATTGCGAAATGATCTGGAAAGTATTGGCAGCCATTTTGATCCTAGGAGAAATTCGTTTCATCGAAGATAATAATGGAGAGGCTGATATGGACAATAATGACGCGGCTAACAAAGGTAAAGAATTTTTGATATTTTGATATTTCGATATTCTATATTATTCCATATTCTAAACCTATGTTTAATATTAACGATTATTTTTCTTATTCCAGTCGCTGAGCTGCTTAATTTAGACGAGAAGAAATTTAGTTGGGCGTTGCTTAATTATTGCATGATCGTGAATGGAAACGCAGTACGTAGGAAGCACACTTACGAAGAAGCGAAAGAAGCAAGGGATGTATTAGCTAATACGATATATCAACGATTGGTCGATTGGATCGTGAACACTATCAACGTCAAATTTACGTTGACACGTTCCTTATTGTAAGTAATCGCGTGCAAATTAATTAACGAGATGGAATTACCTAAAACAATTGTGTCTTTTAGCGGTGATAAATACGCGATTAACATGATGGATCTCTTCGGATTCGAATGTTTTGCGACAAATCGACTCGAACAATTGGTGGTGAACACCATGAACGAACAGATGCAGTGTTATTACAACCAAAGGGTGTTCGCTTGGGAAATGGTAAGATGATCTTTTTTCTTTTTTTCTTTGATAAAATAAATTTTATCGTGGATAAGATTTTTTTTTTTTTTTCCTTTTATTAAAACGTTGATCCACAGCAAGAACAAGAAGAAGAGGCTATACCTATGCAGCGTTTACAGTTTTACGATAACAAGAATGCGATAGACAATCTGATGGGGAAAGATAGAGGTTTATTCAGCATAATCGATGAAGCGTCGAAAAACATGCTCGATTATACACACGTGATAAGCAAAATTCAAAATCGGGCAGGCAATGTTTACGTAAAAGTGGTGAGTTCCCATGAATTTACCGTCGCTCATTACACAGGGAAATTGATCTACGACGCTAGCGATATTGCCGAGAAGAATCGTGACTTTCTCCCTCCGGAGATGATCGAAACTTTGAGGCAATCGGCCATCGGAACCGTGAAAGAAATGTTCACGAACAAACTGACCAAGTCTGGCAATTTGACCATAATCAATGAACATTCGAATCTTGAGGAAAAGAAGACGAACAAAAGCAAATGGAGCACGGTTATGCAGGAAACATCGAAACTAAGGGTAAGATCGCTTGATAGTAATAATTTCAATTTTTGCCATTTCATAAAAAAAAAAAATAAATAAATAAATAAAGTAAAAAGTAGAACGAAAACGAGATTAGAGGAATAAAAAAAAAATGAAAGCGATAAATACGACGATCTTCTGAGGAAAATGGAAAAAAAAAAATTGAAGTTTAGAAAAATGTGATTCGACGATTGTTATTTTATAAACAGAGATTTAACACCACGTCCCGAGGCCAATTCTCCCAGATACGGAAAATGAGAACTTGCGCGGCTACCTTTAAATCCACCAGCCTTGAAATCCTTAAGAACCTTTCGATAGGAGGCGGAAGCGGTGGTATTCATTTCATCAGATGCATAAGATCAGATCTCGAAGGGACGCCTCGTGGATTTTATCGAGAGGTCGTTAGACAACAGATCAGAGCGTTGGCGGTTCTTGACACTGCCAAAGCCAGACAACATGGTTATCCCCATAGAATAACTTTTCCAGAATTTCTTCGAAGGTGAACTAAACTTTTATATCCATCCACGAATATAAAAATATATTTTCGATCGATTCTTTCTTTCTATTCCGATTTTTTTTCTTTTCTTTTTTTTTCTTTTTTTTTTGACTAAACTAAATTAACTAAACTAAATTGAACTAAACTGAAAAAACCTTTCACGATTAGATATCAATTCTTGGCGTTCGATTTCGATGAAACCGTAGAAATAACTAAGGACAATTGTCGATTGCTATTGATCAGATTAAAATTGGAAGGTTGGATAATTGGAAAGACTAAAGTATTTTTGAAATATTACAACGAGGAATATCTTTCGCGCTTGTACGAGACACAAGTGAAAAAAATAATAAAGGTTCAATGCATGATGAGAGCCTTCTTAGCGCGCAAAAACATGGCGTCGAAGATCACGTCCAATGTAAAAAAAGAAATTGGTAGGTAAATTGATAAGCAAGAGAAGCGCAATATTAGATGCGAGCCGATTCATCGTTTTTCCATATCTTTTGTTTTTGTTTCTTTCTTTTTTTTTTTTTCTTCTTTTTTTGAAAGGCTCGTACTTTTTTTTTTTTTTTTTACGACAAGAAATTTAACGGGTATTGTTTCAGTGAAGAAAGCGTCTATAAAGGAAAAGAAGACGATGGAGCTAACGGAAGAAGAGGCAGCTGTAGTTGTTCAGAAAGGTAGGACAAATATAAATAAGATGTTTGATTGAATGAGGGAAAAAAAATTTTTTGACGAGCCTAATAGTCGTTTTCATCTCATATTTTTAATTCACGTTCCATTATCCATTCTTATAATGATTAATTATAATGTTATATGAAAAATAGTGTACAGGGGACATTTAGTAAGAGCGGAGATGAAGCCTCTTTTGACGAAGGAGAAGATGAGTATGCAAATGATAGATATGATGAAGTTTTACAGCAGCAAATGGAGATCGAAGAGCATATTTCAAGTTCTTCTACGGTACCGTGCAGCCCGATATCAAGACCTCGTGCAATTTTCGCAACAAGTAAACAAGATCTTTCTTATTTTTTTTCTTCTCAAGTTATATAATAAATAATAGATTTTTAGATTAAAATTTCATTTAAAATTATTTTAAACAGGTGCATCTGTTCAATCAAGCGATAATAGTATCTCTTGTGACGACGAATAAAGAAATATCCATAGATAAAGTAAATACTAATATTTCGCCATCCACGTACTTGGGCCAAATGAGATTACCCGAAGTACACAAGTTACCTTTCAACTTTAATTCCGAGTTACCTTTTACTTATTCAAATAAAGGAATGAAAAATGTTGGGTGAGTCGATTTTATGTTATTCTCCTCCTCCAATTTTTCCCTTTCCACTTTTTAGAAAATTGTTCAGATAAAATTAGTGTCAATTCCTTTCATTAGAATTTCATTTATCATTAATCGTGTTCGTGTGTAGTTTTTATATAGATTTCTGTGTTTTCATCGGGTGATTCAAATTCAAAATCAAACAATACGAATAATATAAAAGTTTTGTTTCACAACACAAAATGCCTTTCGCGTTGTCCTTTTTTTTTTTTTTGTAAATGTGCTGTTTTGTCATTATTTTTCGTCTTTCATTGTATGCCGTCTCTATCGCAACATAAGAGCCGCTTAAAAACTCTTTGAAGTTTTGTGGACTGAAAATCACGTTCTCGCAGATACGCGTCGTCATTGGCATCTGACGAAGAGCACGAAGCTTGGGACGCGCCATTACAAAGACATACAGTGCCTTGGGCCACCAGGAACAGTCGTACCAAAGGTGCCTATCACTATTTTGTTTCGCCCAATCGAACTGATAACATCGATAACTCGTCATCTTTATCCACTCGAGAACGGAATTTTTTCTCACATCTTTTTCGTACATTTCAATTATCATTCTACTTCTTTTTTTTTTCTTTTTTTTTTAACCTTGTGTTAAGTTCATCGCACACTGCGCACACAGAGTGCATATCGTTCTTGATTCATAATTCCCTCTGTCGTTAAAATGCAGATAATACTTTCGTATCATTCTGTGTATGCAGTTTGTCTAACTCTTTTCATCAATTTCTCTTTCAGTCAATTAATATTAATTTTATCGATGTGTTCGACAATCGATGTAATCGACAAGAAATTTTAAATCCTTCGTTGATCGGGATCAATTGTCGCGTTTTATGATAATAATGATAATAAATAATACGATACAAAAATAAATAAAAGAATATAAAAAAAACCGCGATTGCCTGAGCTCTTTTTCGGAGAGAATTTACTCTCCATCCAAAATTGCTCTGCATTTTTCAGACGTTGAAGTTCAAACGACGAACTCGCCACATCGTGTACATTCGAACATCGAGGGACAAGATCTGATCGACACTCCGTTTTCCAGAGATCCGAATGTTTCGATCCGATGTCCACCCGATGCGTTGTCCCAAAACAGAATGGATGACTCAGGATATCATTACGCTTCAAGAAGCATTACTCCCGTGCCACCCGCTAACGCTCATAATCCTCGCTCAGTAAATTTCAGTAACCATAAATTAAATTTACTTTTTTTTTTCTTTTAATTTTATTCTCTTTTATTATTTATACTCGTAATAATATTTACATTCGTTCATTCTCCATTCTGACCATCTCTCTTTTTTTCAGAATTACGATAGTATCGGATCGATACGCTCTAGAAAACACGCACCGCCTCCACCTGTACCGTTCAATCAACCACAGCCACCCCTCATACGTAGCACTGACAATTATAGCTCGAATATTCGAAGTAAAAGCAACGTAGATACCGCTACCTATAATTGGGAATACGAAAATAAAACTAGCAAGAGTAACAACGGCAATCCTAATCGGTTCGATCACGCTATTAGTAAAACTAATAACCTTTGATATTTAAGACAATCTCTGATATAAAATTAATACCTATACTTCTTTCTCTTCATTTTTGTTCTTTCCATCTTTCTATTTCAGTATCAATCCGATTCAAGAATTGCAAATGATAGGTCGTAGAGATAACTATAACTATAACGAGGACACCGATGAACCGCCGTTCAACTTTCAGGTAAGATTATTATAAAAATTACAAAAGTGATTGCTTGGCAGAGCATATATTGAAAAAAAGAAAAAAAAAAAAAAAAAGGAAAAAAACTATAACCTGCTCGATGTTGATTCGAACAGGCAATGTTGAGAAAAACGTCTTATCGAGCATCGTTGAAGCGTCCCTCCGTCTTCGAGAGTCATTCTCATTCACCGTCACCACTGCCAAGTACGGGATATCGTGGAAATCGGGAGAGCGAATCGAACATCGTATATAAAAGCGGAGGTAGTCGTAGAGATTCTCTCGAGTGGAGTCCCAACGAAATGGTCCAAATGTCTGAGAAATACGCGAAAGAGGCTGTCTGGGGTGAGGATCGATCGGGCATCGGAGGTGGTAACGCGCCCTCGGAAAGTGTGACCGCGGAGATCGCACCGGGAATCGTTATCGAGGGTTACGTGGCCGAGTTGTAAAAATTCGAGTCGACGAAACGACGAAAACCTTCCTATGTATCGAAACCGCCACCACAAAAAACTGGACCAATTGGAATTGCTAATATCGCGAGAAAAAGAAAAAAAAAAAAAAAAAAAAAAAAAAAAAATTTGAGAAGCCCGCAAGATACTTGTAGCTGTGTCCGATGGAAACAAATGTACGAGTACGTATGATTTGAAAAGATTGATACCCAATTCACCAATGTTGCTGACTCAGAGGGAAATTTTTTTATCCACAAATATGTACATACGTATATTTTTTTAATGCTTTTCTTTGTTTCTCTTTTACGTAGAGACAAGATGTATCGTTTGTAATAACGTTTCGTCGTGTAAGCTTCTTTTATAAATTTTCATTCTCGCCTCGGGCGAGACGATGACGTCGGAATTTTTGTCCAATGTACAATGATTTTCATCGAGCGATTCGTTCCTCAGCGTGCCCGTTTGTCTTCTTCAACAGTTAGCGATATTCCTTGTTCATTGTACAATTGTTGACAGTTATTTTTATATTGGCCATATACAGCATACAGATATTCTTGTTAAATTATACACAGATATTTGCATTGTTACACCACAAAAAATAATAATAATAACAATAACAATAATAATTATAATAATGGTAATGATAATGATAATGATGATGATAATAATAATGATGATAATATTAACAAGAAACTGCTTAAAATATTAAGTCAATGCACTTAAGAAGGATTAATTCACAGAAGAATTAAATATTTAAAAACACTTATTTCGAATCCTCGTTAAAAAGATAGCGCAAACGTGCTATCTTTAATTTCTCAATGACTGATGTAATATTTTCCGTTTGTGATGAATAATATCAAAACATTAAAAATTTAAAATATGCGGTTTATTGGGAATAAATCATGATATATTAGATTTTGAAAATATCAAAGAAAAACTGTTCGCTACCGAAATGATAGCACACTTTGTTAATATGTTTAGAAATTGCTTAGTATTCCATCATAAATCCATCAATAAATAAAGATTGCAGTATGTATAATATTATTTAAAATTTATAACATATATAGAACGTGTAAAAAATTAAACGACTCTGAAAAAAAAAACAGATTTTAAAATTAAAATAGTTATCAGTATCAAAAATATCAATAATAATAAAAACAAGTCAATAAAATATATATTTTCTTAAAAAATGTTTTAAATTATGGCAAAAAGAAAAATATGATCGATCAGCCATTATCTTTATCCAATCATGATAAGCGAACAATTTTTTCGTATAGCTTTCAATTCGTTGTTGACAAGCACGAAGCAAATAATGGAAAAATGCGGTATTAAAATTTGTTTTAAATATTCGTCGAAATATTCTATAATCATGCAAAAATATTAAGAGACTAAAAGTAAAAAAGAAATCTACGTTAACGACGAAGCACAAAACAGAACGTATAACGTCTTATTATATTTTGTAAAAAAAAAAGTGCATTTGAAGAAAAAATGGAAAAGAATAGAATTCTAAGATTTTAAAAAAAATTTAATAGTTCTGGATTTCGATGTTATTTTCATATCGTAAAGAAAATGAAAAGAGATTGCATTATTTACAATGTGACGACAAATAGAAGGAAGCAATGTAATGATATCGGTTATTTCGATGAGACAAATATCAAATTTAATTAATGGAAGAATGAATGAGTGTCCAATACAAATCAGAACCCATTTCTTCAAACCTAATTATATTTTTTAACGAGATAATGTGGTTATACGTACATCAAGATTGATCCAATTTTAATGAAAATAATATATCCGTTTTACGATAGCTTGTACGTTTTTCTGATCTTAATTATTATTGAAAATTGCTGATTATTTGTTCGTAGTTTATACAAGAATAGTAAACAGTATACGAATTAAAAAACATTATTGTTTATGAATATGGGATATTTTTAAATTTACATTTGTAATTTATATACAAAATCTTTATCAATCAAATCGTATGATAAAAATGACAGAATAGAGGACAAGAAGGAATAGATACATTATTAAATAAGTTTATATTGTTGTGCTATCATTTTGTACTTAAAATAAAACGATCTCTTTTGTTATACGCTAAGCTATATGATATTTCCAACCAATTGTATATTTCGAACTCTTAATATTTTGATATTATTCGTGAAAATATTACACGCGTCATTGAGAGATTAAAAATAATACATGTGGCCTATCTTTTTGGTGAGGAAATGTATTTAAAAGTTTATATTTAAATTTCTTTTATTGTATTTCATGATGTTCATTTATTAAAAGAATCGAATTATTATAAAAAAAAATGCACTTTGCACAATAACGATTCTATTTGCATAGCACGAAACTCCCATCACTTTTACAAAGTATATAATATTTATAAAAATATCGACTGATGCACTATCATATAAGTACATTTTAAGCAATAAAAAATTTGAAAAAGAGATCTTTTTAATTTTTGATGTAACACAAATTTTCAACGGAAAAAGGAGAATGCTTCATATGTCATATATTAAATATTTATTTATTTCTTTTTACAAGAATCCAAATGGATACAGCAATAAAAATACATTACGCTACGAAGCGTGATACTGGCCATCAAATAACTGACTATAAAAGCGATATGTACAATCAGAATATACATATATATAAAAAATAATATTATAAAAGAAAAACAATTATCGCCGATCAAGACGATTATTATATATATATATAAATATTTTATTCGTTCATCTATTCTCTGAAAATGAGAATATTCTAATTAAGAAAAAATATATAAATTTTTTCTAACTTTCCTTGTAAAAATCTCCATCGACAACAAAATTTCAATCACGAATTCGCTATATCACAATCAACGACGATTCAATTTTTCTCCGATTGTGAATTCGTATCTTGATTGTTGTTCTGCTGAGAATTCTGTTTAATTATATTAACTAAAGTGTCCAACCTGGTAGGGCGTGCAATTTGTAAAACCATGTGCGCCTCCTCCAAAATCAGGAGACCATTATGCGCGTCGCTTGCGGACAGATTGTGCGCTAATATTACGTGACTTCTCCAAGCCGCATGCGTAGGAAGAACCTGGAAGAAACGTTCCTTTTATATCCTTATCGAATATCGCAATCGTCACGTGCATACCTGTAAGCACCATTTACAGTTTAAAGATGGTGAAATCGTGTGGACGGCTTTGATGTGCCTTCGTCGAAAACCCCAACTTGTGTACGCCCTGTCGCAAAACGGACACGGAAATGGTGGATACGCCGTGGCACCCTTCACTGTCTCCTCCGAGAATTCCGAATTGTTAGCTGCCCCCGGACAAGTGGGAAAGACAGAACGCAGAACTCTCGCATTCCGTTCCACGAGTATGTTCATGGATTCTTGATGATCGGGCATCGATTCCGAATTCGAATAATTCGGCGAGTAAAGCTCGTCGTTGTGTCGATACGTATTCCAAGGTGGTGTTCGATCAAGGCCAATTGGAAATCTCGCATGTGTTTCCGGCTCGGGCGAAGGGGTCGAGGCCTCTCGTGCATCGGCGATTACGGTTACATTCGGCTTCGATGATCCTGCAAGTAATTCCAGTCCGCGACTTCAAATTTTTCTTCCTTTTTTTTTTTTATTCATTTTATTCGAGTGTCTTCGGTAAAACCAGTTAAGGAAAGGAATTCGAGTAAGGAGATTGTCGGTTCATCGTCAGGTTCATCTTTCTTTTTCTTTTCTTTTCTTTGGGAAATGGGAAATAAAACTTCGAATGGAATCAAAATGGAAACGGTGAAACGGTTTGCAGAACGTGGAACGTTCGTTCTTCTTATGATTATGCGATTCCTTTTCTTCCAAATTTTATTAAAAATAATAAATATGTTCGAATACACGTGTTGATAAAATATGAAATTGAAAATTAAATAATCCATGCATGCGGTGTGCATGGACAAAGGATAACGGAATGTCAGGAAATGATGAGACAATTAAAAATGTAAAATAGGTTTATTTGCAACCAGTCATTTGTGTATGTGTGTATTTTGTCTACAATCGCACAGATTTAAATAGTAACAGTCAACTCGAAGCGTTTCGTACCGTTTTTTTTTCTTTTTTTTTTTTTTTTTTTTTTTTTTGCGAGATCAAACGAAAGAAAACAGAATTGTGGCAAAACGCGAAAATCAGACTCGTTTATACCGTTCGACATAAAAGGTAGAAAAAGATGGTGTGCCATCGATAGCTGCGAATCGTTCGCGTGAGGTCTCGTCACGGTATATTGAACGCCCTTAAACGTTAAGAAGCATATATTTATATTACTACTCTCATCGTTACATCATAACACGTATTTCTCTTTTTTTAAAATCGTCAATAATGCGAGACGTGATTATTCTCGCACACGTATATAACAGTACGTATATCGGTAAACGCACACTTATAGATCCATCTATACGCGTACAGTAATCTTGTCTTCACGTATAAGAAACTCCGTGGATTCTTATGATACGGTACGTTTAATAGATGTTATATAGATCGTCTACGGCGAGAGTGCGAATCTGCGTGAACATCGTAAATTAATAAATGGATGGAATGTTACATTGCACAAGGATGAAAAAAAAAAAAAAAATCAAAGGAATCGAATAAAAAAAATCGATCGATTTTCCTCAACTATAAAATAAATCTTCGTTAACAAAACGAGACATACAATAGTATTAAAAAAAAAAAAAAATTTCTTAACAAAATATATTCGAATTAATTAGTCGATCATTTGCCTGATGAAAGCAAACGTGAAGCGTAATAAATAGTTGGACCATGCCTAAGAATATTTTCCGTTTCTCTAATCTCTTTTTGAACACGTTCTACTATATTCTCTGAATTTTCTCGCTCCACCTATTGATATCCCTTTTTCAAAAAAGAAAGAACACGGAAACTTCCAAGGCGATCTAAAACGATCCTAAGTGATCTTTAAGAGAATCGAAACGACGAATCAGCGAGAAAAATCACACTTTATTCCAGCCAGTGAAAACGTTTCCGTTTTACGCCTGACCTGAAACGCCCTAGTCATTGAGTGTAAACCGACCGCCTTTGGAATAGATACCTTTTCAAGCCCCTATTGCTAGTATCGATTTTAGTTACGCAATTTTTCCACGTTTCCTCCCATTCGACGCTATTGGGTGCAATACCACTAAAGTGCAACAGAACTTCTCTTATCAAATGTATTTTGTTACTATCGAATTGTTGCTTCCCCATCTTGCCATTTACGTTACAAAGAATCCTCTCCTCCGGAGTAAAAAGGATCTTCATAAGGTCACAGGCCAAATGATCCATCGGTCGAGAGGATGCCCACGTTGAAATTATCTCCGGACTCGGCAGAAGATCGGCGTAAGGTAGTTGTTGATACGCGTATAGCAGTGGCTTCACGTCCGAGAATCCAGTTAGGCCGGATAACCCAGATAAACCGGAAATATCTTCAGCAGGACTGTTCCCAGACCCTGCCACACACATCAGAGCACAGCCTGCTTTAGACACGGAGGATCCCCCTAACGCGTGAATTGCAGCGTACCGAACAATTAAGCAAATTCGACTAGATTCGTTTAATGCCGTGTTAAACGATCGGATCGCGTATCATTCCCTTTCTCTTCTTCGCCACGCATGCACAGATATTTTTTTTTTTTTTTTTTTTTTTTTACGCATAAATATAAAACAAAATCTAGATCACATTTCCGAGTACTAGAAGCCAGGACTTTTTTTCAAATTTAATAAAATATTAAACGAAACCTTGTTCAAAATTTAATCATCTATCGAACTAGATAACTAAATATTATCTATGCCTTGACCTCTAGTTTCTCCGATCCATATTTCTTTAATTTATTCGCATATTTACTTACTATCTACACACGTTTCCATTTCCTTTATGAGTTTGCTTGTAACATCGAACGAAATAAAAAGGAATGAAAGAAATATGTGTTATACCAATGTAAATAAAGCAGATGTGGCAATCAAAACTAACTCAAGAATCTGAGAAAGCGTCGAAAATTAATACGCACCTAATATGCAATTTAATTTAAATGAAATTTCAGACAAATGTAATAGGTAATTTTTATCGATCAAATAATAAATAAATCTTAATATAACTTTTTATCGATATTAATCATAATAAAACAATATATATATATATATATATATAATCAATTATTTTTTTCTCTCTAAATTATCGTATCAAGATATAATGCAACAAAAGATATGTATATAAAAATGAAATATCAAAATATGCATAAATTGCTATAAGATAAATGTAACATATTCTCTAATAATAACATGCATATGATTATATTTTCTATTATTTTTTTAAATATAAAGCAATATCATATAATTTTCTAAATATTACTAACCTTGATTTCCTTCAAGTTGTCCAGTATCTAATCTTTCTGCTGGATCTTTGTCCGTTGAAGATTGTTTTTGAGAATCTTCTAATACAGTTTCTAATGGTTCTATCTGAAAATATAATAAATTATATTTATTTCATGTTTCATTAACTAATATCATATAAAAAATTTTAAATTAATATAATAATTAACCTTCATTTCTAAACGTTGATAGATTGGATTTTGCATATTTTTTTGCAATAAATAATCTCCTTCTTTACCACCTTGTTCACTGGTTGTAGACTCATCTGTGCTTTCTACTTGAGATACTTTAGGTGTTAGTGCTGTTTCTAATATAGAATTTTGATGTTTGTTCAATTTTTGTTTTTTCTTTGGATTTTCTTCTTTACTACCTGTTCCTTCTTCTACTGCCTGTTCCAATTCTACTAATCTTTTATAAGATTCTTTAGCAAATATATCTCCTCCCGAAAGACCACGGATTTGTAATGTTTCTGCAGCTTTTAAAAGTGCTGGCAAATTTTTTTGTTCAATATTTACTTCTCCTTTATATATAAATATAAGTAAAGCTTCTAGTTCACTGAAGTGTACATCTTGGAGTATTATAACTGGATGTTGACAGGGATTTGTCTATAAATATTGAAAAAATTTTTTAGGCAATATTTTTCATTAAACTATATATATATATATATATATATATATATATATAAAATACAAATGTGATCAAAATCACGTGGCAATGAAGCACGACAAATTTAAAATATGACACGTATTGTTCAAAGTAGGCTAACCTCAAATTTGTACGATTATACGTTTAAAGAATTTCTTTCTTAAATATTATTGATTAAAGAGGCTAATAACGAACTTTTTTCAATAATGGAATAACTGTCAAAACTTCAATCAAATCATGAAGTATAGAAAACTATAGAAAACCAACCTGAAAAACTTTTTTGAAAAAAGGACTACTTGCTGAGAGAATCACTTTATGAGCTGTAAGACACTGTCCATCACTTGCCAATGTCACATCTACTAAACCTTCTTCCTCCCAAAGACTTTCGAAACTCGTGGCGATATTGTTTAAAAAACTGTTCCATTTTAGACATATTTGATTTGACATTTCGCAAATAGAAATTTTCAATTTTGTTAGAATATTGTTTCTGTGTTGTGAATCGTTTGATAGATATCTTTGCACGTCAACGAAATTATTCAATGATAGGAATAACGTTGACGACGATAATAGAAATAACAACGAAAACGACGACGTTGACGACGACAACGACCGCGATATAACAGCAGTGGTGCCAGGCACGCACAAACATCCTTGGTACTGGGTTGGGAATACATAGTCAATATGGCTGCCATACTTTATTGAATTGCGCGCGATCTTAAAAACTTTTATTGCAATGCAATATAATATATTTTTTTTTTACTATTTTATTGAATTTAAAATAATCGATAAAAAAATAAAAAGAAATTTATTCAAAAATTCTTCTTTTCTTTTATATTCTTTGTATAAAAATATAAATTTCAAAAAATGATCTTTTAGATAATTAATTTAATTATTGAAAAAAATATTTATTAAAATATAATTTAAAAAAATATAACAAATATAAAAAATAATTCAGAAAATTATATATAATTTTAGATATTTCAATAATTATACAATTAAGATATATTAAAATAGCAATAAATGGTGCATGCTTATATTGCGTGCATATACTTATGTGAACAAGTATCACACGCATCAATAATTCCAATATAAATGTATACATGCAAGTATATATATATATATATATACTTGCATGTATACATTTATATATATATATATATATACGTGCATAAATTTTCGCGTGAATTTAATAAATAACAATGCTTTATAATTGTTAAATTTTTATATATCTCTAACATAAATATATTAATAAAGTTTGTATATAGTAATCAATTAATTTATATAATAATAAAAAATAATTTTATAAAATTCCAAAATTTATAAAATTATTGAGAAGTAAATTTGTAATAAAATATTGTAAAATGTAAATGAGAAGCACTGATGCTTTATGAAATCATCCTTTGTATAATATTTTTCTTATATTTACAAAAGACAATTTTTGGTAAATGGTAAACATAACTAATAAAAGAATAACTGTAATTCTCCAAGACAAGCTTGCCACATTTAGTCCTTAAGTCTAAACTTTCTAAAATTTCAAAGGAACAGGTATAAATTGTTTCCTTTCTATTGTACGCGCATTCTCCGATTTTATTTAACAAATGGTTGATTCATAATCAACAAATATTATACATCATAAATTATACTATATTAACTTATACTATAATATAAATATAATATAAATAATATAAATTACATTATAAAATAATGTAATAATGTAATAAAATATTAATATACAATTTATAAATATATTATATATATATTAATATATTAATTATTAAAATTTAAAAATTGTTAAATCATAATTAAAAATTTAAATAATCTTTTTATTAATTATTATGGAATTATTTTAAATTCGGAACTCGATTTAATTAACATATTTAATAATAAACAACATTGAGAAGGCAAATTGACCTGAAAGTAAAAGAATATCAAACGGTTCTTAGCCAGACTTCGGAAGGGATAATCACCCCCGAATTTCTTTTGAACTTTCCATACGAATTTTCTCTTCCTGATCGTCCAATCAGGAAACAAGGTACTTTTCCTTATATATCAGGCTAATTTTCTACTTTACTTGTGACTTGTCTCTTGTACTGTGCGTTACGAGTGTTTGCTACAAACTAGACAGGAATTTGAATTTATTTTTTTTTTTTTTTTGAATTTTAATAGTGATCGACAATCAACAATCATGTCAAACAAAAATATAAGCAAAAAAAATGGACAATATTACTTCAATGATAAAGTAAGTACTTTCGTTTAAAAAAAAAAAAAAGGGAATAACAGTTATGTAAAGTTAGAAATCATTAATTTAACAATGAAGGTAATTTTTTTTCTATATTTGCTATTTTATAATATTTTCTTGTTGAATCAAATAAAAATAATTAATTAAAATACTTATCATTCGAAACAATATAGCGTTTGGTATGTATTTATAATGGTATTACCTTATAAATAAATTAATATCAATTATGTTTTAATTAAATTATCTAACTTTTAATAATATTTATATAATAATAAATTTTTTTGGTGTTTGAAAAAGTATTCATTTTTACAAAAAATTACCTCGCGCAAAATTCGAATGAAATTCATTAATTGTATTTCATCACACAAATTTTTAATATCTGTATATTTATTTGTTTAATGATCAACATTTTTTAGTTTTATATATAAATATATCGCTTCAAAACTTAACAAGTTTTTTTTATATATATTTATATATTTATATATTACATATATTTTTTTATATTGTTTGTAAATATATCATAATATATAATAATTTATATATTTAATTAGTAAGTTAAAAGTTTAAATACATTGTAAGAATTGCATTTATATTTTACATTATATTTTTTTCAAGGTAATTCAACAAAAAATATTACCTCGTCAAGAATTATCAAAATTTGTGTTCAGAAGCAAACGAAAATTATTTCGAAAAATATCGAAACAAAATTCAAAAATATTAAAGATATTCATGTCATTGATAAAAATTTTGAAAAGTAATATTAAATATATCATATTCCAAGCGTATTTTTTATATATTTGTATATGTGGTATAATTTCTTCAAAATTCGTTAATTCCAAAAAATATATAGAGAAAACATATAAGGATTCCATTGATAAAAAATATGAGGTAAACGATGAAGAAAAGAAAATAAAGACAGAACAAAAAACAGAAAATCCAAAAAATGAAGATAAATATGCGTCGTCTCGTAATAAGAATGAAAAGAAAAATAATGACGATACTGATAAAATAATAACTACTAAAGAAAATTTTGACTCTTCTGAATTATGGAACGTCGCGAATGATATAATAATAATGAACATGAAAATAGAGAATGAAGATATTAATAGATCTATAGAATCATGTAAAATCGCGGAAGAACCTGTAGAGATATCAATTGAACACATTGTTAATAATATGAACTCTGAAATAATTACATCTCAAGAAAATGAAGTGTCTACAAATGCAACGAACAATGATTTTCAAACACAATTTTCGAAATCGTTCATTGATGAACAAGATAGCATTTCCTCTGTAAATGAAGAAGTTGCACAGATATTTCAAAAACAATATAATTCTTCGGAAGACGAATTTAATTCTTCTTCGTTCCATACATGTTGTGCTTCTTGTAAATGCGAAAGATCAAAACAAAATAATTTTTATTGTCGTAAAATAATCAATAATTATTCTCACAATTCCCCGTTTATATCTGAATCAAAAAACGAGGAACGAATGAAGAAAACTGAATGTACCAATGGTAAAAGAAAAAAAGTTATATCTCACGAAAACGAAAAGTATACAAAATATAGAAGTGACAAAAATACAAAGGAAAAAAAAGACGAGTCTCAAAAAAATATTTCGCCTAAAGATAAATCACGTTTTTCAAGAATGCCAATAAAAATTAATAAACTAAAATATAAAAATATTAAATATAAAGAAATGGCTACGCAAACGGATAACAGCTTTTTGATAGATAACGATGTTGAAGTGATATCAACTGATACGAATGGTTCCTCTAAACAACAATTTTACTGCAAATCTCAATTCAATCATTTTCAAGTACATCATTTACAATTTTTATTTTATTCTATTCATATTCTATATTATTCAATAATTCTAACATATTATTTATTTTTTTCTAGGGTAAAGTGATAGTACAAGAATTAAATTACATAGCGGACAATGAAGAATCAAGTATTGGATTTTTAAGAATCGCACATAAACAAATTACGTCATGCAGTACATCATCTTCATCAACAGATCTTGGTTTCGTTGAAAATACATCTATAACTCCTGATATGAATAGTGCAGTAAGGCACATAAACATATCTAATAATGCAAATACTTCTCCAAGATGTACTCGTCCTCCTCCTGGTTTTCCTGAAATACCACAAAATAGACCTTTATTGTCTCAAATATATGATCCTATAAATATTATATTAACATCTTCGATGTATGAAAATTCTGTCTATAATTCTCGTATCAACACGGTAACAATTGTACCACCAATGCCACATCTTTATTACAATTATCCCGAATTTATGGATTTTTCTACTTATAACAATTATTCAGAAACGTTAAATAATTTATAGAAAAAAATTATTATGAATAATATTTTTATTTCAAACAAATTTATTTATAAACAAATAAAGTTTTTTTGTACAAAAAATAATTATATGTATATATATATATATAAAATAAAGAAAAATTCATTATGAAAAAATCGATAACTTAATGTTAAAATATTTATTAAAAATATATACAAAATATATAAAGCAAAATTTAAAGAATTAAGATATTTTCTTCAGTATTTTATGGCGTAGGCATAAATGATAAATTCATTGGTGATAATTGACTTCCTGATGTAACATCTGGTCTTTCTCCTTGTTCAATAACTGGATCTGTTTCATTCATATCTTCTATCTATAATTAATATAATGTTTAAATTTTATTAATATTATTTAATTCTAAAATATAATATTTTATTTTATTATTATTAATAAATATTTTATAATTACCACCATTGAATGTTCAAATTTTCCTCTTTTTTGGGCAATCGTTCTTAACAATGCTTTAGCTTCTTCTTTTGTTTCATCAAATTGCAAACATTTTTGAGCATAATGATTAGCATAATCTAATTGCTCTCGCTTTAAATGATATTGTGTTAAATACTTATATGCATGACTCAAATCAGTTCTATCTGCATTTCTAAATTCATCCATCACAAAATCTGTATAAGCTGCTGCTGCATGATCATGTTCACCTAATTTTTCGTATAACCTACAGTATATTAGAACAAATTTAAATATATACATCATATATGTCATAAAGGAAATATCTTTAATACATACGTAGCTAATTTTAATAATGCCATTCCTTCAATGTCACCAACATTACATGCTTTATAATAACATTTCAATGCATCTTGTATTTTATTTTGTTTTTCATATGCTTCTCCTAAAGCTAATACCATTCTACTATCGTGTGGTCTTAGAAGCTGAGCTTGTTTGTAATAATATAATGCATAAAATGGCATTTTTAAAATTTCATATGTTTGACCCAAACCATACCATGCTCTATAATCCCGTTTATTAACCTCTATATAAAGAAATTGATTAATACATATAGAAATAGATATTTAATATTGTATATGAATATGAAAGTCCATGTACCAATAGCTTGTCTATAACTATGAATAGCACCATTGGTATTTTTCATTTCCATGAATTCATGGCCAAGTAATGTCCAAGCAGAAAGATATTGTGGATTTAATTTCAATGCTCTATGAAAATACATTACTGCTTTTTGATGATCTCCTCTTAAACTATAATAATTTCCTGAAAAAACATATTTTAATTAATCAAACAATAAAATAATAAATTTTCACATATTTTGCTATGGAATGTAGTAAACTTACCTACTATACAACATGTTTCTAATCTATATTTATCTATTTCTGTTGCTCTATGTGCTAAATATGCTAGTTCAACTTTCATTTCTTTTACATAAAGCAAATTAGAATATGTATCCATATTGTCTAAACAATAAGGATCTTCTTTTATTATTGTTTTAAATGTTTCTATAGCATTATCAACATCTAAAATTAAAATATTATAATTTAACATATTGTAATAATATACTATAAAAATTAATAATTTGTTTAAACATATGACATTACCTCTTCTATAATGTACAGCAATAGCAGTTTGAGCAAGTACATAACCATTCTTTTCAAATCCCATTGATTGTAATTCACAATATAACGCTAAACCTTCATCTATTAATTGCAACTCTAAATACATATGAGCCATAAAAAAATGCTTCATCCAATGATTAGATAAGCATAAACTTTCAAGCTTTTCTCTATCAGTAATTAAAGAAGCTAATTCTAACCAAGATCCCCAATGCATAGGCTGCTTATGAGTTGCTTCAACCAATACATCTGTAGCTTCTTTGGTAAGTTGTAATTTTTTTAATGTTACACCGAAAAGATAAAGACCAAATCCATCAAGTTTATCTGCCAGGTGATCTTTTCTCAAATCAGCACACAATAATCTTAAACTCTCATTTTTTAAAGGATCTGGAGGAACTACTGTCATATCATCTATTTTTTTCTTTTCTCCAGATAAATAGCGAGAATATAAATGTAAAAATCGAACTTTTGGAGTTTTGCATTGCTCAGTAAAGTAAGCTGCTCTATCATATTCTTTTAAATCAAAATACGTTTTTGCTAAAATATATGTATCTTCCTCATCGCTTGTATCCGATAAATATAAATCGGCGGTAATATCATGAATGTTTAATTTAACATCTTTTAGAGAATAACTTAATTCTGCTAGCCTGTAGGAAAAATACATTTTTCATTTCCCATAATAATATTCGTTTGATTATATATCAATTGATTATACCATTTTGTAGTATGTAATAATCCACGTTGGGAACATTCGTTTATCGCGCGTAAAAGATCAGTTTTAACCTCTTTGATGTCAAACTTTATTAATTCTTCCATGTTATATATGTTATGATATACATCAATATTGTATTTGACGTTATAATAAAATCAATTAAATAATAATTCTGTACATATCAAGAAAAAAATTCATGTTTGAATAGATTTAATTTATCAAACAAAATATAAAATTATTTATATGCATCATAATATATACGAACTGTATCTCTTTTAACATTTAACTAATAGCACCATCTTCCTCAAAAAAGCTGAAACTTATTATACATAACATAAAATCATGTATATGTATATCATTTTACACAGTTTTAAAGACAAGATAATTTATAATATATATGCACAATACTAGGTATAGATGTATAATATGTAAATACTTAAAACATATAAAAATTAGATTAAACAGATTCCGTTAATATATTTTAATCAAATTAAACAAATAGAACAATAAAGTTAATTAGATATCAAGGCTAGTTTTGAACAATAAATAAATTTTAGAACAAAGAACAGAAAAATAGTGAAAGAAGAAATATTATAATCAGCACTATCTTCAAAATTCCAATGAAATACATAAAAAAGAAAAGAATAGAAATAGAATAAAAATATCATCTCTTATAAATATCAAAGATATCTCTTCAAAGGTAGATCAGCATAGGAATTGAAAATCAGCGCCATTTCTTATTTTTTTTTTTCTAAATACTTTTAAAGAAATACCTTTGTTATTTAAGAAATGGTGATAATAATCAATTCTTATCTTATTTTTAATCTTTTTCTATTCGTTGTTTTTTTATTTCATTTGCAGCACTCTAAAGATGATTTTAATATTTTTATTCTATTTTTTATTCTATTTTTATTTGTATTTCTGTATATTTCCTATTGCATTATCTTTCTTTTATTTTTTCTTCTATCTTTCTATTTCATTTTCTTTACTTTTCTTTTTATTAGCACATAATCATAAATAAGATACGAAATATCAATCAAATACATTTTCATTATTTTTTTTTCAAATTTTCAATAAAATATAGATATTATATTCTTAGTTTTAAAATTTATCGTTAAGATGACGATTTCATAAAACATAATATATTTTTAATTAATATAATATATTCAAACATAATATATTCTTAACTATATTTCAATAATTGTTGTCAAATTAACATGTAATTATTTCATATATAAATAATTTTTACATATTTGAAAAGATCATATATAATATAAATATTATTTAGAAGATATTAAATCCAAAAATTTAAAAAAAATATAAATTTATTTTTGAAAATATAATAATAAAATAAATAAAATAAAGTAATGTAAATATCTTAATTTTCATTAAATAAATAAATTTACTTTGTTATCGATAACAATATATAATAAGTTTGTGCATTTTCAAAAGAGATGGCGTTATAAGTTAAATTTCATCTATGATATAAGCAATATTAAAAAATTGTGTTGTTCATGAAAATCGAAAAATTATAATAATCTAACATTGAAAACGTGGAATTAATCATCAGATAGGAAATGAAAAAAGAGAAATCGTATCAAAATTAAAAAATCCTCAGTTTTTATATGTTGTAAAATTAATAATATTGTTTTATATAAGTTATATTTAGGTTAGATGTGGGATAAAAAAGTATATTAGATGATAGATCTATTCTATGTTTCGTTTGTGATGATATTTATACATGTGATTTAGTGTACATTGTGTATTTAAGTTTGTATCTAAGTTTTATATGTAGATAAGTTTAAAAATATTTTTGATATATTTTTATATATTAAAATTTAAATAACTCGAAATTAATGAATATTCAATAACAAATATTTTAGAATATTACAAATATTATTATAATGTCTTATTCTTTAATTTCATGGGTAATGTAGTAAATAATTTTTATCACGTATAATTACAATTATTTTATTCAAATTTAAATTTTGATAATTGTGATTTATATTTTTGAAAATACAAAATATTATTTTATATGATTATTAATATCGATATAAACAAATATTTCTAAAAATAGTGTGCGTAAAAGTGCATCATTAGAAAATATTTGATAAAAAAGATCGATAAAAAAGATTTAAACGGATATCGTACTAAAGAGCGGGAATATTTTAAAATAGTAATTTTAAATAAAAATTGTTTATTTCATAGGGTGCTAATTCTCACGGCCAACTTGGTCAAGGATTTCGGTCGGAAGAATGTGTTTTACCATGTGAAGTTGATTTATCAAAATGCTCATTAGAACCACAAAAAATAAAAAAAATAATTGGTGGTGCTAGTCATACCTTAATTTTAGATGATTACGGTTGCATTTATTCTTGCGGTTGGAATAATAAAGGGCAAGTGGGTTTTTCTACAAAAGAAGATATTCTTTTATTTCAAAAATTAAATGGAAAGCTAAAAGATAAAGTTATTGTGGATATAGCATGTGGTTGGGATTGCTCTGCTGCATTAACAATAGAAGGCACATTATTTGTATGGGGCTCGAATTCTTTCGGGCAATTGGGAAAGCATCCAAATGATTTACAGTGGACGCATGAACCCTTCGAGGTTGTAATTGATCGAAAAATCAAAAGAATTTCTATAGGTTTAAGACATACCGTTCTAATAACGGAAGATTATAAAATTTTTGTAGCGGGGACAGGTAGTAAAGGACAATTAGGTTTAAGTTCCACGAAAAATGAAAAATCTTTAAATGCCGTATATATTTTTACAGAAGGTAAGTAAATTTAAAACAATTTCTAGCAATATGAATAAAGATTAGACTATGATAATTTTATACAGTTTTGACATTATCGAACATTGAGGATATCGGTTGCGGTCAACACCATACGATCGTGGTAGCAAAAGATGGAAATTTTTATGCATTTGGTGATAACAAATATGGGCAATTAGGAATAAATACAGATATATTTCCGAAAACATTAATTCCTACAAAACTGTCAGATCTTCAATTTAAATTACCATTTAATTTATACAGTGGTTGGTCGCATGTGATTGTATTAAAGAGTAATGTATACATATTTTTTATAATTAATATTCATATAAAATAATATTTTAAATTTTATTATTTTATCAATAGATAATTATATTTTTGGTTGGGGCCGAAATACATATGGACAATTGGGTATTGCACAATTAGAAAAATCATCGACTTGGAAAGCTATACAACTTGAAAATATACCTAAAATATATCAAGTTTCTGTAGGTTCAGAACATAATGTTGCACTAACTGGTATATAACATAATATAATTTATATAAAAAAAAAAAAAAATATTAAAAAATGTTTAAAAAAATATTTCATTTTAGAAGATGGAAAAATTTTATGTTGGGGATGGAACGAACATGGAAATTGCGGAAATGGCCATACCAAAGATGTTAAATTTCCGGAACAACTTTTACTCTCTTATGATTATGTGGGTATTCTTGTCGGAAGTGGTGCAGCTCATTCATTTGCAGTAATAAAAATATCTCCTAAAAAATAATAATAAAAAAAAAAAAATAATAAAAGAAAACTAAAAAGAAAGCTTGACTAATTTATGTTATGAAATCCCTATATGTATCTGATCTTATCAAATGAATATATGTACATAATGTATATAATGGATAATGAATATTGAAACATAACAAAAGAAATTTTCTTTTTCAATATTATATGAAAAAATTGTAGCTTTATTTAAATAAATATTAATAAACAATGAACAAAAAGTAGTATAGTATAGATATAGTTGAAAATCGACCTCACCTGTAGGCACAATGCACCACCTGTCAACAATCAGTATTCACGCGAACGTAACTATAGAAGTGTGTTGGTTTCATACGAAGATCGATCGGTTTAAATAAAAGAAATTGCGATATTACATTCGATAAAATGTTACGTTCAAGATCTCAAAGCAGCATTTGGTATGTATTTTCAATTATTTATCATATAAGTTTAAATTTGCATTTATAATTATTATTTTATTAATATTATTCATCAGGGAACAAGAAGCAAAGTTTGTACAAGATAGAATATCCAACGTAGAAAAACATTTTGCGGAATTATGTACAACATTCGCAGCATATACAAGAAAAGCAGCAAGGTTTATAATTAACTACTATTATATTTTTATAATATCGATCTTTTATTTTTTCTATTATTCTATTTTATTTTATTTTTTGATAATATTTTTTATATATATTTATATAATATATTTTGAGATTACGTGATAAAGGAGATGAAATAGCAAAAATTATACAAACTTATGCTGAATCGGAAACTATAAATCGATCTTTATCTAACGGATTGACAAACTTTTCTACGACTTTATCTGTAATAGGCGATTATAGGTATGTATATATTTATAAAATTGAATAAGTATAAATAAATATTTGCAATAAATTTCTTTATTTCATATATTTCAAATTATTGCAATTTTTATCCAATGTTTCAGAGATGCTCAAGTGCAAAGATTTGATGCTAAAATAATTTCTTCACTTTCTCAGTATGCGACAATTTGCAAAAACGCTCGTGATGATGTAAAAAATACATTTACAGCACGCGATAAAGAATTGACAAGAAAAAGACATTTAGACAGACTTAAAGAACGAAATCCAAGAAATAGACAAATGATCGTATCCTTGTATTAAATTTAATTTAATTCATTGATTTATGTACAAAAATTAAAAAATATACTAGTTTAAATTCTTAAAAAAAGAAAAATAGTCTCAAGCTGAATCCGAGCTAATGAAAGCTTCTGTTGAAGTTTCAAGAGTTGTTAAGGGTTTAGAAGAACAAATCGATACATTTGAAAAACGAAAATTACATGATTTGAAAACTATACTTTTAGATTTTATTATTATTGAATTAAGTTTTCATGCAAAAACTCTTGAATTATTGACGAAGGGTTATCATGATATTGCAGGAATTGACGAAGTCAAAGATTTAGAGGTAAATTTTTTTATTTAAAAAATATTCTACTTTTAATATAGAATAATATATTGGATATTGAATAATATTGGATATTTCTTTTATTTTTTTATTTTATTATAAATAATATATTATAATATTGTATAATGTTTCGAAAATACTGTAAATTAGTATTATTTTGATATCTTCTCACAGGACTTTCAAATAATAAGAGGAAACATGAATGGGGTAATTTTTTATTCAAATAGTCATATTTATATTAACTTAGTTTATATTAACTTATAATTTAAATTATGAAAATTAGTTGTAAATTTTTATAATATATTTTAATAATTTAAAATAATGATTAATTTCAGGAATTTCGTGAAGCGATGCATGTACCAGATTCAATTGCGAGATTGACCACTGTTGGACGAAATTCATTTCGACAATCTTATTCCCTTACTAATTTGGCTAGTCGTTTTATGTCTTCGCCCGGAGTTTCTCAAAAATCAATAAATCATATAAACGAATCTACAGTAAGTTAATTTTTATTATATATTAACAGTTGAATATATATAATCGATATATGTATAATCATAATAAATTTTATATAGGATTCTACAAAATCAAGCTTAAAAACGAATTCATCGGAATCTGTACAAATTGAGGAATTTAGAAATAGTTCAGAAGAAACAGAATCTGAATCTACTAAAGAAAAACCTGTGAGAACCAGGCATAAATCTATGTAATTTTTAATAATCTATTACTTTCAAAATATTTTACACAATTCTAGATTGAATTACAAATTGATTCTGGAAGAAATCAGAAGAAACAAAAACAATTTATACTTAAAGCAATACCATCAATTCCAAGATATCAAAAATTTTTAACAATGCCTATGATAATCAAATACGATTGAACTTATACTACTTATACTACTACTTATATTAGTGAAGTATATCTTATATTTTTATTTAAAAACAAAATGGAAATAAAATATGCATTATATCAGTACAAAAGAAATCAGTTTATTACATTAATAACCAAATGTGCATATCAATAATATATAAATATTTCTTATAGAATATTATTTGTTGATATTGAAAAAGATCTCTTTGACTCTATATAAAAATTGATGTTACAATAAATATAATTATTTATCACCTCCTTCTACTCCAGCTTGTGTCATTAAATCTGTAATATTCTTTTCTAAATCATCTATTCTATTTCCCATTTCATCTAGTATTTTACATTAAGGATATCTATTATTTATATTTATAAAAAAATTACAGTAAATACATATAATATAACTTCCTTAAATAAACTTACTTTTTTTCATATATATATGAGTTATATTTTCTTATCAAAAGGTTATGTAAATGTACACTTTACTTTGCATTTTATTTTATTAAGGTTATTTAAGGAAATGCATTTTAAATACTCGATAAGAAAAGGATATTTTTTCCAAGAATTTGATCCGACATTGTTTGAAATTTTCCTTGCATATTTTGTAATAATGTTTGCACCTAAAAAAAAAGATATATAAATAATTAAACTCATGATCGAAATATGAATACAAAATGTTACAATACTGAATTAGTCGTACTCACATATTCCGTTAATTCTTGCATATTTTTCGGTTCTGCATTATTACCTATTCCATAATTATCAGTATCCTCACCTTTATGATCCTGTTTGATATCTGCCATTCCTAAATAATGTAGTTATCCAATCTCACTTTACAATGACTTTATTCTTTCGAATAGTTCACGCGAGCGCATGCGAAGATTTCCAGTAAACAGATACTTTTATTATATACAATGCAAAGCATTAAAACATTGATTTAACAAATAGAATATCATTTCTTTCGATCAAACATTATCGTAATTCAGAGACAGTAAGTTTCTTACTTACTTTTTTTGAAAGTATATTTTACATAATTCGAATAAATGATTCTATTGGTGGAAATTGAAATAGGATTCTATTTGTTGCTATCTTGAATAAAATATAGTTTACATCTAACAAACATAAAGGCGCGTATAGATTAAGCAAAAATAATGTTTTCAAAAAAATATTGTGGATTTTTTAGTATTAAGAAGTTGGAAGTAAAGAGAATACGCAATTGATGAATATAAAATTGTTACTAATTTTATTAATATATATACAAGATTATTATTATCTGTTTTAAAATTTGATTAATTTAAGAATATTAAATTAAAAAATTATTTTTATTGAGGTTTAAACATAATATCTACATTTTCTGGTGCTGGAACATTCAGAAGATTTATTGTTCCAATCATTTGATAATTTGAATTAATTGATGAAATGGAATATATTTGGTTATTTTTGTTTTCTTTATTTGCTAAAAATTTGCAACAAACAATATACCAAAAACTTTGTACAATATTCTTCACTAGTCCTAAAAAATTTACTGTGAAATAAAAATTATCTTCAGCAAGATATAAATTATTAAAATAAAATAAAACTCACCACTTGTAACAAAAATACCTCCAACAGTGGCACATAATTTCACTAAAAATTGACACACTGTATCACGTTGTTGAGTAACTTTTATTTTAAGCGCACTCATATCATATTTAAAAAAAATTCCTGGACTTCCATGAGATCCTTTTTGATGATTAATAGGTCTTTGATGATCTTTCACACTATATTGATAAGTTTTGGAAGTACTTAATAAAGTTTGTATATCTGTGGGAACTACTTCCACAAAATACTGATATAAAAGCATATCTAAAAAATATATTTTTTTAAATTATATGTATTATATTACAATATTAATTTTTACTTTTAATTATAATATTGTACATATTATTGTTATATGTATAAACTTACTATTATCAGCAATTTTTTCATCCCCTTCTAGTGGATGAACAATACCTGGACTAGGCCCACCAAATGAAAATTTATTTATTCTATGAGTAAAATTATAATCTTTTTCAGTCATAAAGGCTGAAATATGTATATGCCCTTTAGGAATAGATAATGATTTTCCAGCAGTTATATGAAAATTTCCAGCAACTTTGTTAACATTTAAACTGCCATGAATACGACATGCATTTGGTGCATAAATAGGTTGATGAGTCCTGAAAAATGTATTATAATATATGTATATATTATATACATGTGTGTGTGTGTGTGTGTGTGTGTGTGTGTGTGTGTGTGTGTGTGTATTTATATTTATATTTATATATGATATATAACAATCACAGATGTAATAATATATATAATATTGCATATATACACCGTTTTGGCATTTCACTATATAAAGTAACTTGATTTGATTTCCATAATAATTCATGGATTGCATGATATTCTTCTCTTAAATAAGAATTTGTGTGTTTCAAAGCTTCAAAGTGAGATCTTTGCTCTTGAGTTAATTCCCACCATGTATCTTCTTGTTCTAATGATTCATGTCCAACTATATTTTGATTTGTGGAATCTAAAACATCAGCACCAATACGACCACATGGCATAGCAACAGTTATATCAATATTTATTTTTAATTTTGCATCAATATCTGTATCAGTTTCAAATTTGAATTGCAATCTGCTATCAAGATAATAACTTGTTTCAGCTATTATTAAATATGCAATAGTGCAGATTGTAAATATAGAAACTGTAAATAAAAATGAAAATAAATATGTATAGTTAAATCAAAATATTAAATGATATTGATAGAAAGCTCACATGTTCCTCCAACTGCAGTTTTGTCTACATATGGTTCAGGAACTTTAGGAAATGCATCCAATTCTTTGACAGTTTTAATATTAACATTTCGTCTTCGTAACATTTTAACAATTGTTAAAATTCAAATATGATGAATATATAACATTTATTCTCTAACTAAATTCTACTAACCTAATATGTAAAAATAAATTTAAATATACTTTTATCTGAATATAAATAGGTAATATATATTTATCAATATTACTTTAATTTAATAAATTTTACATTGACCTCGAACGTGTATATTGTATATTTACATATTTACAAATATAAGTACATATTTAAAGTCTACACAATATTTCAAATATATAGTAAGTTCCACGTGGCAAACATTCATACGTTATAATTGTAAACTTCAATGCAAATGTCAAATATTTTTTTATTGAATTGCTTATTTCGAATTATATATTCAGAAACAAATGAAAATGACTATTTGTACAGTGACTAAAGATGCCATTGTACCTATAGAAAACCTTATATATAAGCAAATTAATTGAAAATACTAATCAAATGTTTCAATATAATATAAACATTAATTGATATTATTATAATTTCAAATAATGGGCGATAATTCAAATAGATAAGTTATATTATAAATATTTTTTTATGTAAGTACATAATTTCATTTATTTAACTACAGAATATTTGACGAAAATAAATCTAATACGTATGTATATACATTTATAAAATTTTCAATGTATTAGTTAATTTCATGATGGATAAGTATGTACATGTTATCACTTTAATGATTTAAAGCATTTCTTATCTTAGATGATTTTTACATTTAACGTTCACATCGGAAATAAATGATTTTGTAGTAAGAACGACTATGCATTACATATGTTATTTATATTGAAAGTTTAAATATAAATAAATCAGTAATTTTCCAGTTAATAGTGAATTATGTGCACGTGTTTTATTAAAGAGTGTTAATTTTTAAATATATATATATATATATATACTTTTTGTTTTTTTATATTTTTATTTTATTTTTTTTTTATGTTATAATAATTTTCATATAAAATCACTGTATTATGTATTTTACATATTAAAAATATTATACATTTATATTATAAATATTTAATATATTTATTGACTTAAGTCAAAGTAATAAAATATTATTAGATATTAGTTAATACTGTTATATTATGTTTATAAATTTATTATACAACAATAAATAAAAATTAATTTTAGTTTATTTGTATATAATATTAAAAATATTTATATAAAAGTATAAATAGAATAATTTAAAATATTTCAGAGAAATGTTTCATCTTATGAAATGCTTTATTTTGTGAGTGAAAATTGATTTATATTTATATTGATTATATTTTTTAAAATATTACTAGAAATAATTGCAATAATTATTTATTTTAAATAAATCATCATTAAATCTTATCTATCTAATATAAATTTATATATAAAAGATAAAATACATATATCAATAATATTGAATAATTTTTTCATTAATGTGTAAAATTGAAAGATTAAGAATACAAGATGCCAAGTACTTTAACCTATCCAATATATACTGGTGTTGAATCACCTTCTCAAAGAACTCGTGCTTATACTTGGAATACTCAACATCATTCTGCATCTCGGGTATTGCAAGTTAATACAAGACCAGGACGCTTCTCATTGACAGAATCTTCAGTATGTAAATAATTATATTTTTATGTATATCAATATTTATATAATTCATTATATGCATTATCTTAAAGTAATTTAAAATTATTCATCTTTATCATTATCTTATGATATCAAATTAAAGAATTAAAAAAAATAATTTATCATATATTTTATTTTAATTCTTTTATTTCTTATCATTGTCAACACAAAGATCTTTTTAATCTTAAAACCTTAATCAAGAAATCAAAAAAAGATTTCTTTCTGAAATATTTTTACATCAGACGTTAGAATATATTGATAATCTTAAAGAATATTATATTATATTTAGATTAAAAATTAAATTTTTAAATCTTACAATTTTTAAATCTTAAATTTATTCTTAAATCTTTAATTTCGTTTATTATATTGTTAAGATAATAACAAAAGATCTCTAAGATATCTTTATTTAGAAAAATTTGAAGAAATATTTGCATATGCATTCATTTAGTGATATATATTTAAAAATTTTTCGTAAATATTTATTTCTATTTTTCGTAAATATTTATTTCTAAATTTTATCTTTTTTAACATTAATATAAATTAATAAAGAATAAAACAATACATCTTATAACATATACATATATTTTTTTTGCGTATAATAATATATATTTTTTAATGATAATAAAATTTAATGATAAATGATAAACATGAATTTTAACCATATTTGAATATTTAAAAGGAAGTTAGCCATCTTTAAGCGCGTATATGTCATATCCGTTTCGTTCATGCAATAGCAACTAAGAGGGGTTAAGACAAAATAGGTTTCTTGATGGCACATAAGAAACTGTGAACCTAGATAAATTGTAGGATTTATAAAACGTAGCAATCGACGATTAGAAACAAATCGATTACATATAACGTTAATGGCAGAGGAACATGTTTATGGGTATAATCCAACATCTGGAGCTGACGGAGAATCCGTACGTAACTATTTTGACAGTTTGACAAGTACAGGTTGGATTTTTGATTGATAGACTTTTGAAAGGGTGTTACTTGCAAAAAGTTGTTGACTTTATGATTAATAATATTATTGCATTAATAATAAAATTTTCATATAATTAATAATCATAATACGAAATATTTATATTTTTTTATTGATAAGCATTAAATTATTTATAATATAAATTATAAATTAATAAAATTAATAATAATATTTTTATATTTTATTATAATTAAATACAATTAGAAAAATTAAAAAAAAAAAATCATTTCCATTTAATATATCACGTATAATTTTATATATTTTTATAGTGTTCTATATTTTATATATATTTATATTTAATATTAAATAAAATATTATTATATATTATTATTAAATAAAATATATTTTAATAATAAATTAACCATTATTTATTATATATATTATTTATAATATATATAAAATTTAATTGAAATTTCTTATAATAATTATTAATACATACAGATAAAATAAATTAAATATTTAACTAATAAATAGTTTGCATAACAAGATTTAAATTTTTTTCAGACATGTTTGTTTTATTTTTTTAGATATTAATTTAATTATAAAAT